CCTAACGCGTAATTACAAACAACTCTTTTAAAGCGGAAAATTTTCATGTATTTTCAGAAATCGTTTGTATTTTTAATTTTATCCCATAAATTTGTTGTTTTTAAATTTGGGGTGGCTACTTTGCGCCAAATTTTTTGCGCAGCTCGCCATAACTTTCTTCTAAGTGGGCCAATCTTCATGATTGTAGATCTCAACAAGTGCAACAAAGTAACACCAAAATCATAAAGATTGGCCCACTTAGAAGACTTGAACCACTTAGAAGCCACTTGAACTCGGAGGGGATTGATATCGGTTTGGCTGAATGGATACGGGATCGTCGAGCCGAGAAGAAACGAGTGACACGCCGGATTATCTGGAATGAAGCGGCTAATCGATTCAAAAAAGCTGAAATTTCTTTCAAAAGAACCCATGGCTGAATGGAGTCGTTCTTGAGGCGTCACCAACTTTCTTTGAGGGCACCAACAACAACTTGTCAAAAGCTGCCGAGTAAATTTGAGAAGGCCATCGTCGAGCACATTCTGAGGCTGAACAAGACAATCAAAGAAGGCGATTACAAGCACATTTTTGCTTGCGATGAGACGGCGGTTTGGCTGGATGCTTCGACGAGCAAGTGCATCGAAGCGGTTGGAGCCAAAGAAGTTGGTGTTAGAGATCAGAGATGGAAATCAAGGACCTCTTGGAGCCGCTCGCATCGACGGGATTTCAAGGACATCGAGGAATTGATGATCAAGAAAATGATGAATTCATTGATTCGGATGTTTCTATTGATTTCGCTTGTTAGTTGTTTTTGTTTCGTTTTGCTGTTAAATTTTCAAATGGTTAAAACCAATAAAAACTAAAGACAAAGTTTGCTTTTGAAAAAATTATTTGAATGTATCCTGATTTGGTAACTTGAACAGTGGTGTAAAATAGTGACCCACCCTCTAATAGTGCCCCACCCTCTAATAGTACCCCACCCTAGAGGGGGAGGGAAAGAATAGTGCCCCATGGGGTCCAATTACAGTATTTACGGTAGGTTTCTGCACGGAAAACTAACGAAACGTGAAAACAGCCATTTTTTCGCTCTGCCGCCCTTTACTAAAAGTAACAAATATTTAAAAAAAGAGATATCTCAAAACGGTTTTTACCAATCGATCCGTCTTGAATTCAGCTTTAGAATGAGCTATAAAACGTCAAAATTGGACAAATTTAAGGTACTCTCCCAAAAAATCGGAAAGGACTTTTCCATCAACCCAATATTTTAATAGAAAGATGACTTATCTTTTTGTTATTTTCAATAAATTTTTACCTTTAATTCCCTCAAAGGTCAAATCTCCCGTATTCGCGACAATTGGACAGTACAACGCCGTTTGCCAAACGTACATCAATTCGTAGCATTTTTGAAACTTAAAACTAATTGCTTAAAAAGAATTATAGCTATTTAAGATTTAAGAATAAGAAGATAAAGTCTGATTGTAGTCTTTTTCTCATCAAATTCATCCATTCACCTCCTCAAAATCTTTCCAGGGAACCGAGCGATCACCGGCGAATTTCAGCAAATTCTCGTAGTAGTAAGCAAGGAATTTTGTGATGCTGAATCATTTTTTTAAATGATTTTAAATGAAATGAATGTTTTAAATTGTTTTCCAAATCCAATCCCAACCTTTTCTTGTACTTTTCTGGATCAATTGACAGACTCAACCATTTCACTAAGTCTTCCAACGGATTGCCGAGGTGAACTTGCTGAATGTTCCTTGATTTAATCGACTTTTATAATGAACTTTTGTTATAATGAAGATTGATAATAAAATTCAAATTTTCCTAACTGAGAAGAAAAATATTCACTCATTTCGTAATCACTAAGATTTTTTCGAAAAATTTCGCAAAAAAAAACAAAAATCTAAATGTCGATCGGGAATTTGGAGGAATTTTTGCAAAATTTGCAGAAAATTTGCTATTTTTGCGTTTGTGCGAACAGATTCAAAGATGAAAATATTTGAGAAGCGATTGCGTCAAAAAGTCGCATGCTTTTCCGTGCAAATCACCGGAACTTTTCTTTTTTTTGCAAAAATTTCAGACAGACGTAGGTGGGCTTGGGCAAACAGAAAGCCATTTGTAGAAGGAAATCAAGAAAAAGTGAACTGTGAATTTTGTTCAACATTGTGCTCGCAAATTTTCGTAACATATTTCTTGGATATGAATTTGAGAAAGATAAAGATATTGAAGTCTTTAGAAAGTTAAGAAAAAGGTACTAGGTCAAAATGTTTCATTTAAGAACCTAAGAGCTTAAGAAGTTGAAAATTAAGGTCTTAAGAGCTTAAGAAGTTGAAACTTTAGAACCTAAGAGCCTAAGAAGTTGAAACTTATGGACTTAAGAGCTTAAGAAGTTGAAACTTAAGGACTTAAGAGGTTAAGAACTTGAAACTTAAGGACTTAAGGGCTTAAGAAGTTGAAACTTAAGCTTAAGAGGTTAAGAAGTTGAAACTTAAGAACCTAAGAGCTTAAGAAGTCTAACTTTCTTTACAATTAAAGCCGTTAGACTTTTGTGGTGTACTTTGTGAACAGAAAATGACAAATGAAACCTTTCTGGGGCGCCGAAAATAACCGAAATAGTCTGCTAAAGACATGCCAGATTTTTGAGCACGAGTTCTCGTAATTTTCTCCATTACCGTCTACGAAAATTGTTTTGGAAACAAGAGACAACGTAGGTTTTAATATTTTTTCAAGAATAATACAATTATTGCATTGCAAAATGTACAACAATGTTTGTTTGATCTCTTAAAACCGATTTCTTATATGTTTGGCTTTTCATAACAACTACTAACTTTCATTACTAACAAATTTAGCTAGTTACAAATTAAACTCCTGCTTTCCCTGCTCGCGTTCATTTAGATCAAAAGTCGCATAGATTGGCTAAAGTCTTTTCGAAATCGAAAGGCTAAGCAAATTCCATAGCCCTTTTTTAGCCTCTTCTCTTTAAATGAGGCAGGATCACAACTGTCGAACGGCAAATATAAGCACTCTCCATTCAAAAGCTTCCCTGATTCCGACGATTTTCCTAAAAAACTTTCAAATATTTTTACCCTAAATCCAGTCTAGACTTTTGTACTTCTAATCTGTAATTGAAATGCTAAATTTTTTTTTTGAATTCGTTTTTATTCTATTGACTTTACTTTATTACTATCAAATCCGATCCTTAACAGCTATTCAACTTCATTTTTCAATGGACAATGACAACCAAAATAAACAAAAACATTCTTTATTGTGCTTATTTTAAATGAATTTCGAATTACAGCAGAGGTCGTCCAAATCCTACAAATAGGATCAAGTTTAGAGTGGAAACAAGAAAGTCCCGTCTAGCTAAAGCTATTAGGCTTATTATTAGGCTAAAGCTATTGCTTAACATCTTTCTTCTTTTTTCTATCTTTCTTCTACCAGATAAGACTTCAATTATTTGCTTAAACCAGCGGAAAACGCTAACGTTCGCATTTCGCCAACGTTAGCGTTGGCATTCCGCCAATCTAAGCCCCGCCCCTTTTTCGCAATGGCTGCGCATAGACGGACAGACAGGCGGACAGACGGACAGGCGGACAGACGGACAGGCGGACAGACGGACAGGCGGACAGACGGACAGGCGGACAGACGGACAGGCGGACAGACGGACAGGCGGACAGACGGACAGGCGGACAGACGGACAGGCGGACAGACGGACAGGCGGACAGGCGGACAGGCGGACAGGCGGACAGGCGGACAGGCGGACAGGCGGACAGGCGGACAGGCGGACAGGCGGACAGGCGGACAGGCGGACAGGCGGACAGGCGGACAGGCGGACAGGCGGACAGGCGGACAGGCGGACAGGCGGACAGGCGGACAGGCGGACAGACGGACAGGCGGACAGGCGGACAGGCGGACAGGCGGACAGACGGACAGACGGACAGGCGGACAGACGGACAGGCGGACAGACGTCTCTTCTGCTTTATATATAGTAGATTGCAAAAGCGCATAGAACAGTTAAAACTTGAAAGCGTAAATCAGAATTTCATTCTTTTATTGAATGAGAGGATCAAAACAATAGCAAATTAGTTAGAAAAGTTAAAAACTCTGGCAATTTCGTTAAAGATTTGAATGTTTAACTTGTAAATTGAAAAAAAAGGCTTTAGCAATTAACTTTTCTTTATAAAAGAGATGAAAATTATTCAAATCTTTTCACATAAATTAAAAATTGAATACCAGATTGTTGAGTGCAAGTATCCAAGCTTATCATTTTAAACTATTTTATAGTTAAGTCAATCACAAATATTGGGTTGGTGAATTGGAAATTGCGGTCTATTTCGCGGGACTCGCAGATAAAGAAAACAACAGCATAGTACCAGCTGAAAGGAGGCTTTGCTTACTTCAATATTTCCTCTGATTATTGCAAAAAAAATTATGCTTCCAGCTTTTTATTTTTTGGTTTTTTTCTTCACTCCTTCTATTGCATTCGACAATCTGCCAACGGGACATATTCGTCATGTGATGCTTCGTCATGTGATGCTGAACACTTCGATCCAGAAGAAGCAGTCAAAAATTGGCTTCAAAATTTTTTCGATTCAAAACGAAAATCCTACTACGAAAGAGGAATCTTCAAATCTTCAAATTGCCTGTAAAATGGGCAGAAGTCCTCAGTAAGAATGGAAATTATTTGGAATGAATTTATGGTTTAGAGTTGAATCAATTTTTAGTTCAAAGTCCCGCAGTTTTCAATTCACCAACCGGATACATAGATTCTAATCGTAAAGATTCTACAATATTCCAGAAAATCCCTAAACCCAAACATCCGCATCTTTTTCTTCATTTTTTTTCCTGGATACTGTAAAATCATCTCACTCCCATCCTCAATTTTCCATTGTTCTTTTGTGCATTCAATTCGCAAATATGTCTAGTGCAGAAATTCCAGCAAGCGCGAAGCACAGGGAAAAATGAAAATTTTGTGGGATTTTAAAGGTCAATCGAAAAATTGGGAAGAACAATCATCGTATTCAATGGAAACAACAATTCATTATCAACAATTCATCGAGATTCTTGAGAATTATCAAAGACAATCATTTGAACCGATGATGGACAATTCGATGGACTCGATCACTGATTTGAGTTGCTATTCTTATGAGAGGTTAGTTTTGGAATTTTTCTAATAAAGGAATCTCGTAATTCAACAACCTAATTTTTGTAAAACTTTCAATTCTTAACATAAATTTGTAAAAATTGACTTTTAGTCTAGTCAAACTTTAAGCAATAATGGGAAGCTTGCAGTGTTTTCTTATTTGTGATCTACAGTTTATCTGTTATGTCCAAATCCGAACAATCGTCATTTTATGGAGATGCAGTCCAAATCCGAACACATTCATTCAGTTCGAGTTCGGGTTTCGAGTTCGGACGTCCGAACCCGAACATGATCTCCATTATGTGTTGAAGGATGAAAAAATAGTAGCACAGTCTCTAATAGAAGCAATATTGGGCGGGGAATCGGAAAATAAAATTACCTTATAAAGATATTATAGGAGAATAGAAGGTCAGAGCTAGGAGAATCAGGCTTTAGCCTGGGAGAAGGTCTCGAAGGTGCGGAGCCATAGCCTAGAAATATTATAAGCGTCTATCATTCTATTATTCATAGAAAAATAGAAAATTCGGACGTCCGAATCCGAACATAATGGAGATCGTGTTCGGATTCGGAGGTAACACATCTAAAGACTGGTGAGTGTTTGCTGATTATTCGCATTTATTCGAGACTAAATTTTAGAGGCTGTCTGTCTGTCAGTGCTGTACTATTATAATATTCTATGTACCTTGTTAATTATAGTTTCTAGATATTTATTGTTTGCTTTAAACAAAAGACAACGATTTTGGTGATAAATGATAGAATTTCAGCACTTCTGAAGTCTCGACCTCATCAAGTGAATCTGTAACGAATGCTGAAAATGAAAATAAAAGAAAATCAAAAGTATGTTTGAATATAAAAAAAACTGAAAAATTAAACTACCGTAAATACTGTAATAGGGACCCCACCCTCATAATGACGGTGCGGAGCGGTGCGTAGTTGCGTAGTCTAGCTTTGAACGAGTTTTTCTCGACACTGGTTTATGCTACGATGCGCGCTCTGCTACAATACAATAGAGTCTGTAAGCGAAGCCAGCTCTAAAGCAGGTCAGAGGTCTAGGTCAGAGAGCCAACGCCGATCCAGTGCTTTTGTGGTATGGGCCAAATTGAGCCAGGAGAAGGCTAGCTTTTGAGCAGGTATATCCAGCTAGATCTCAGTGCTTATAGGCTAAATCAGAGTTAGGGGAGAGCCAAGTTAACCTACCGTAAATACTGTAATAGTACCCCACCCCGATAATGACGTTGCGTAGTTACGTAGTCTAGCTTTGAACGAGTTTTTCTCGACATTGGTTTATGCTACAATGCGCATTTAGGTATCAAAAAATAGCTGAATTTCATCTATTTTTTGATACCAAAGACGCATTGATTTTTAATTTAAGATTCAGAAATCGACTACCAGTACTGGCGCCGCTACTACTGCAACCAGCGGCAAAAGCTCTACTACTTCAATGACAACAATGGTAAAAATATCTACCGTAAATACTGTAATAGTACCCCACCCCCCTCGTACAGCCGCGTAGTCGCAAAAGTTCTTTAGTATTTCATTTTTTGCAAAGCACCCGTACTTTCAAGAAATGCGTCTTTGGTATCAAAAAATAGCCCTGAATTTCAGCTAATTTTTGATACCTAAGCGCGCATTGTAGCATAAACCAGTGTCGAGAAAAACTCGTTCAAAGCTAGACTACGCACCGCTTCGCACCGTCATTATGGGGGTGGGGTACTATTATAGTGTTTACGGTAATTTCATTTTCATCATAATCAAAAATACAGGAATGCCACTCGTGCGCGGTTTGCGGTGACTCAGCCGCCTATGCGCACTACGGAGTTCTCACGTGTGAGGGGTGCAAGGGATTTTTCAAAGTGAGTGAAGAATATTTAAAGTTTATGAAATCTAATCTAAGATTTCCATAAGCTAGCGTTATATTTCAACGGTTTTCGTAACAGAAACTTTTCAGCGAACCGTTCAAAAAGGTCGAAGCGATTTCGTTTGTCTGAAAACGGGCACATGCGAGATCACTCCAAAGTAATTCTTGTTATGTCAATTAGAAATGTTTTCTTATTTTTACTAGATCAAAATTTTGATCCAATACGGTTCCAATACGTTTCCAATACGGTTCCTATTTTGATCTAATACGGTTCCAATACGGTTCCAATCGAAAGCGGACACATACGAGATCACTCCAAAGTAATTCTTGTTATGTCAATTAGAAATGTTTTCTTATTTTTACTAGATCAAAATGGATTTATGGCTCTAGAAGTCTCATTTATTTGTACAAAAATCAATTCTAAATTTCAGTAATCGCTCGTGGTGCCGACTTTGTCGATGGAAGCGGTGTTTGATCGTTGGGATGGTTCCGAATGGTTTGTGAATTCATAGAGTTATGGAAAATGTTAAAAGTTTCCTATTAAACTTAAGCAAACATTCAAATTCTCAGTTGTAAGCAGCTTTATAGCAAGAAAACGAGATCGATTTAAACTAATCTTTGTCTAGAAATGCTATTTTAGCCGTTCGAAGCGGTCACCTAGCCGGTCGACGCGGAAAATTGCCGAAAAAGAAAGCATATTGCTGATTTGTATTTTCTCAATGATAAACATTAATCAGAATTTTAAAAATAACCAAACGAAAATATGGAATACCGTCAAAATTTCTAATAGAAGATCATCTCTTCTTCTAATTTTATAACAAGTCATCAATAATAATTGAGAATATCTCATTGATTGATGTGCGTTTGTTTATGTTTTTAGCAATAAACAGTTTTGTGACAAAAACCAACATTCCTTTTTCCTCAACCTAATAAAAGCCGTTAAAGTTGATCGTTAAGCTTCGTTCGTCTTTGAAAGTATAGCACCTTATAGTCCGGACCTGAACCCATCAGATTATTTTTTGCTTCGGTCGTTAAAGAGTTTTCTTATGAGAGAAAAGTTCGAGAAGCATGCACAGATCAAAAAAAGCAGTCGACACTTATTTTGGCTCGAAAACTTCCCATTTGTTTTTGAGGATGGGATCAGGGATTTGCGACAAAGATGGGAACAAGTCATCAATAATAATTGATGAATATCTCATTGATTGATGTGCGTTTGTTTATGTTTTTTTAGCAATAAACAGTTTTGTAACAAAAACCAACATTCCTTTTTCCTCAACCTAATAATTCAATTGACTTTACTTTATTAAGTTATTATTAAGTAATGGCAAGAGGTAAAACGCTCTCGGACTTCGAGAAAGCACAGATCAAAGCATTTAAACACTAATAACAACTTCCAAGAATTTCTCAAAAACCATTTTCGCAGAGAAACAAGCAAGCTTTTTAATAGTTGAAATAGAAATTTTTGTTGGTGGCGGCATTTTTAAAGAAATGAAGAAAAATTGTAAAGACCTATGCTTTTGTCCATGCATCAATTCTATTATACCCGCAAAACTAACGTTATTAAAGTGATAGCTCAAAGACTTCAATCGCAACACTGAAATCACTCGTTTTGAAGCTTTTGGAATAAAGAAAAGTACACAAACTTCTTTATATTGTTATCTCAAATATTTCGTGTTTCCATTTCTCAATCAATTCCACAGATTCATCGATCATCACCAAGAATTTCTCGTGATACACTTTTCGCAACGGCGCAATCGTTTTCTCATCTAAATTTCAAATCTCCAGTTTGTAGCTTCTCTAAAATGGATCGTTTTTAGAAAACTACCGTAGTCAGCTGATTTTTTCGTTCAAATAGCCCAATTTTCGACGCTATGTATCGTTCGACGAGGTTTTTTTTGTATCAATCACAAGCCTCTGTCAATGCTATAAAAACTGAGCTAATTGAGTGAAAAAATGACAGCTGACTACGGGGAATTTTTTTTAATATAAATGTATTGGGTTGATGGAAAAATCCTTTCCGATTTTTTGGGAGAGTACCTTAAATTTGTCCAATTTTGACGTTTTATAGCTCATCCTAAAGCTGAATTCAAGACGGATCGATTGGTAAAAACCGTTTTGAGATATCTCTTTTCTAAAAGTTTTTACAGCTATTTTAGTAAAGGGCGACAGAGCGAAAAAATGGCTGTTTTCACGTTTCGTTAGTTTTCCGTGCAGAAACCTAAGCTAAAAACATGTGTTTCGTGATCAGCGTCAAAAATAACCCCTAGACACGCATTTTCAGAATCTTAACAAAAGATTTTTGAAAATTATTGTCACCGGTGGAAGTCGAACCAGCAACCCTCAGATCAATAGCCTTTCCGCCACTTTTCGCGATTTTCCTTCGTTTTTCTCGTTTTTTTTTGTTGAAGAATGCCCTGATGGTCCCACCAAACACACAGCATTGTCTTTTTTGGGTGAAGTTCTGCTTTTACCCTTGGAGTTGCTTGTTGATCGGAATCAGCCCAGGCCTCAATGATCTGAGGGTCGCTGGTTCGACTTCCACCGGTGACAATATTTTTCAAAAGTTTTTTGCTAAGATTCTGAAAATGCGTGTCTAGGGGTTATTTTTGACGCTGATCACGAAACACGTGTTTTTAGCTTAGGTTTCTGCACGGAAAACTAACGAAACGTGAAAACAGCCATTTTTTGGCTCTGCCGCCCTTTACTAATATAGCTGTAAAAACTTTTAGAAAAGAGATATCTCAAAACGGTTTTTACCAATCGATCCGTCTTGAATTCAGCTTTAGGATGAGCTATAAAACGTCAAAATTCGACAAATTTAAGGTACTCTCCCAAAAAATCGGAAAGGACTTTTCCATCGACCCAATATTTTAAAAGAAAGATGACTTATCTTTTTGTTATTTTCAATAAATTTTTACCTTTAATCCCCTCAAAGATCAAATCTCCCGTATTCGCGACAATTGGACAGTACAACGCCGTTTGCCAAACGTACATCAATTCGTAGCATTTTTGAAACTTAAAACTAATGGCTTAAAAGAATTTTAGCGATTTTTTTAGAATAAGAAGCTTTAAGAATAAGAAGATAAAGTCTGATTGTAGTCTTTTTTCTCATCAAATTCCTCCATTCACCTCCTCAAAATCTTTCCAGGGAACCAAGCGATCACCGGCGAATTTCAGCAAATTCTCGTAGTAGTAAGCAAGGAATTTTGTGATGCTGAATCATTTTTTAAAATGATTTTAAATGAAATGAATATTTGAAATTGTTTTCCAAATCCAATCCCAACCTTTTCTTGTACTTTTCTGGATCAATTGACAGACTCAACCATTTCACTAAGTCTTCCAACGGATTGCCGAGGTGAACTTGCTGAATGTTCCTTGATTTAATGGACTTTTATAATGAACTTTTGTTATAATAAAGATTGATAGTAAACTGAAGTCTTAAACTCTGATTTTAGCACTTTATCTTTAAAATTAATGATACTACTCGTCTACACTCGTCTCGTCTACAGTCTACGTCTACAGTCTACGTCTACAGTCTACGTCTACGTCTACAGTCTACGTCTACAGTCTACGTCTACAGTCTACGTCTACGTCTACAGTCTACGTCTACAGTCTACGTCTACAGTCTACGTCTACGTCTCGTCTACAGTCTACGTCTACGTCTTTTAAGACCAACCATAAGTCGATCTGATAATTAGAAGTCGAATTATTGAATAAAATAGAAAAGTGCGCTAAAGTGCCATTGAGATCTTTACTTGCCAATCCAAAATAGCTTTAAGCTTTTTGTTTTCTGGATCTTTCGAATCGTGATTCCACATCACATTCGGTGGCCAGAGATCACCTTGACACAATAGATCAATTCGACCTAGAACAATCGAACAATCCTTTTTGATATATCAAAAGATTATCAAATCCTTATCTATCAAATTCTTATCTATCAAATTCTAAGCTTGCTTACAATTTCTCTTCCGAAGTTCCCGATAGACTTTCGGATTGACGAAGATTTCGGCTACCGGCAAAAGAATTTCCAATTTTTCCTTGTACTTCGGGAAATTCTCTATGCAACGATGGATTCCTTTCGTAGTTTTCTAAAGTTAAATCTACGGTTTAAGCAGTTAAAGTTAAAGTTTGCATTTAAATTTACAGAACAAGTCATTTTTTCTTGAACGTTTCTTCGGACAGCGAGAAATTTTTACTTTTTTATTTGAGATTCTCACTGAAAAACTTTTCCTAAACATCCAATTGACTTTTCAAATAAAAAATGAACCTAAGAATCTTTTCTGCAAAGAAAAAAGTAGAATACGAAAAGGTTTCGTTGGGTTTAAGCTTTTGAAAAGTGAAAACCTTTAGTTACCTCAGTTCATTTTTCTTTAAGACCAATGTAAGCTTATTTTATTATTAAAATATTGGAAAATAACTTTAGATTAAATATCTGAAGAGAGATTGAAAAAAATCTTAAATTAGAAGAAAGTTATTTGATGAAATAGGAGAAAGAATGGCAAAAATAACAATTGGAAACCATCGGTGGCCTTCATTGTATTAAACCTGTGGCCTTCAATGTATTAAACCTTCCAATATTTACATCTTTTGTATTGAAATCTTCGAGGAATTGATCGAAAAATTTGCTGTCGATGAAGCTTTGGAGTTGCTCGGTGTGATAGAGAGCTGAAAAGAAAAGTTATTGATGCTAACTTTATACCTATTATAGTTCTAAAGTGGAGCTTTCAAATCATAGCTTTCCAGGATTTCAAATGAAATATTAGGTTGGCAAGAAAGTTTGTAGAAAAAGGGGCCCTCATGGTGTATTGGTTAAGTTCTCACTTCCAAACTGAGGGTGTGGGGTTCGGCCCCCCTAGGGTTCTCTTCCCTAGCCCGTGCGCCCAGACTAGAGGTCTCTTCTCTAGAGCTGACTAGAGATCCCTTCTCTAGCGGAGTTCACTCTTCCACTGGGTTGGCCCATTCATGGCCTGAGGTTATTAAAGCAAGAAGCCTATCTTCTATCTATCTTCTTTTCTCTCCGCCTCCACATCGCCGAGTAAAATATCTCATCTTTCTCTATGTATTTATGTGTAGATTTGTGTATTGTCTGACTGATTACGCTTTATTTCATGTCCTGAATAAAGTATGAATATATATATATAAAGTTTGCGCGGTGATTTCTCAAGAACCAAGCCATCAATTCTTCCCAGATTTTTTGATAAACTTAACTATATTTCAAAAAGTTTTTGACAAAAAAACAGATTGGGCTTCAGGCAAAAAATAAGAGATCTCTTCAGCTGAAGTGACTTGATCACTTTTTGAGTGACTCGTCTTTATACAAGTTTTTAATGGGTTAATGAATAGGAAATGGGTTTCATTTAAAACCTAAAATCAAGTACTTAAAATAGGGAAAATTTTTGATTAAGGCAAATTTAATCGAATGCTTTAACTTTTCAGAATCACCTATTTTAGTAAACACTGTGCCAAGAAGATGAAACCAAAAAATTATTTTTTGAAATAAAGCTTCTTTGTAAAAAATTTGTTGGCCATTTGTTGGCCAACAAATAGAGATTATAGAGCGTATTGCTGATTTATGCTAGCTTTACCTCATAAGGAATCGTTTTTATGGTGCAAAAAGTGAGCTGAATTTACGCTGGAAAATAAGTAAGCTGAATTTAAGCTGGAAAATAGTCATTTTTCAAAAATCTCAAAAATTCTGAGGGAAAACTGCACTCATTTTTTACGAGTAATTTATTGGAGTCGACTTGTCAATAATAGAACAAAATGTTCTTGAATTGGTGGATTCGTTTTGAAGAAATTTCAGCCAAACTTTTTCCGAGAACTTTCTTTCCAACCTAATAAAATAGAGTTCGATTGGGTCAGACAGTCTTGAGAGTCAAAAGGATCAAAAGAAAAAGTCTCAAGTCAGATCTCAAGTCAGCTATCAAGTCAGCTATCAATTTAGCTTTCAATTCAGCTCTCAATTCAGCTATCAAGTCAGCTATCAAGTCAGAATTTCTAGTGGCTCCTGGTGGTTGTTGTGGTGCCGACGTGAAAATTTTGGGCGGACAGATTTTTGATATTTTGTCACTTTTTCCCGATTTCGTGACCACCAAATACATGAAATTTCCGAGCCACCATGGTTACCACCACCGTATGGGCCACCACTTCATAGTGGTGGCCCATACAGTGGTGATTTTTGCTATAATTGAAACTTTCTAATTTCAAACTGTTCTCCCAGTTCAGCTGCTGTTCAAGTAATGCAATGGTTTAGCGGGCAGAATTTCTGGCAAGAATACAGCCAAATTAAAGCCAAAAATAGGTCCAAACTTTTAGAGATCAAAAGCTTCAAATAATACACGAATTCTGGACTTACAAGATCCATTTAGTAAAGCCATTTGGTAAAGAATCTCGAGAATTTGTTTCCCTGAAAGATTTTCGTAAATATGTTGCACAATCGAGCCCTCCATGATTTCCATAGCCAAATAACCTGAAACTAGAGATTTGTTGATAAAAATTCTTGATAAACGGACCGATTCCCGTTTCTTCGCTGTACTCTCGTCCACAGTAGTATTTCGGAATTCGCAACTCGTCGAAGCCGAGTTTGGCGATGTTTTGGTAGAAGAAGAGTTCATTGTTGCTCAGCTGAAAATGCTTAGCTATTCATTTAAAGACTACGTTAAAAGACTCACCGATGCCGCATAATATTCAGCCAAATGTTTCTTCTGCCCACTGCCAACATTGTCAAAAAGCTCCTTGATCACATCCAATGTTGACACTTTAAGGGCACATTTCTCGGGTGGTTTTCGATCGTTTGCTGACAGATTTCCCTCAATTTCCCAATCAAAATCGAGTCGATAGATTCGAGAAAGGAAACCCTAAAGAAAATGGATAAAATTAATCTAGATCAATTTGATTATTAAGCAGATTTTTAACAAGAATTGTTTAAAAATACTGTAAAAGAGTTTCACAAGGGAAAAGCACCGAATCAAGCTGGCTTTTTGGTTCGAGACCAAGCCCAGCTTATAGAGTCGATGATGGAGATCTCGAATCCGTTTTTAGTTTTTGCAGAACGCTTCGCAAACGCGAGATATTTGGCACAGACAGTCACCTTGAATTTCGAGCTCTTTATGGGGCCGTCAAACGCTCCCCCAACAACTGCTTCGATAGTCTAGTGGATAAGCGACTAGACTACCAAACTTGCTACACTTTTGCCCTCAAGTTCGAGTCCCACTCTCGTCACCACTTCTTTAAAAACCATTTCCCTACCATTGAATTATTGACTATTGACTCGGGCTTTATACACAGTTTTCTGTAACTTCAACAAATCATTTACAAAAGCTAAAACCTTCCAAAGTATCAGAATAAAAAAAAAGTAGATATTGAAAATATCAAATAATCGAATGTTGCTTAAATAGATCAATTTATCAGAATTTTTCTACGTTTTGTCGCACTGATCTTTTATAAACAAGTCGATTTCTTATTTGACTGAATTTCTTGAACAAAAGTTATTCAACTTGTTATTCTTAACATTCTTTTTTCGCAACCAGAAAGCTAAACCCAAATGAACAAAAGTCTATCGCTGGCTTAGACAATGCTTAGACGTTGGCTTTTTTGGAATCAAATTATCTTTAAACAAACTTTATTCCAAATGACTCACTTTTCCTTTTCCAATCCTTTCCGCTAATCGTTTTGGTCCTGTTTTGAGTTGAATTGAATATTCTTTTTGCATATCTTCTTCTATCATTTCCCAAGTAATTGTCGAATCATCGATTACATACATTTTGGAATATCGAATTGAAAGAAAAGATTGATAAACTGATTGAAATTTTTAAAAACACAGTCTAGCACAGTTTGAATAAACAAAAACGAAAAAAAGAGAGAAAAGAGAGAAATTTTCGGTGAAATGCATTGTGTTGACCTTTTGTGCGAAAAATGAAAACTTTTCCAGTCTAATTCTCTTCACTTTTGATATCTTTTTATCTTTTTTTTTGCCCTTTCTTGTGCAATGAATAAAAGAAAAAAGGGGCAAGATGGCAGATTTCAATTCGTCATTGTGATTTTTAAGATCTTAAACCTTTTGTAGATGTTTCAGGTTTTGAAGTTAAAGTTTTTAAAGGCAAAGCACAATATTGGTACTGGTTCTACAAAGCAAACTTATTCTACAAGTTTGGTTACTCACGCTTGGAAACAGGGCAAGTTCATTAAAAGAAAGGTCATTAAAGGTTAAGATTAAAGGTTAAGGTCGTTAAAGAAATTAAATAGTAGCCAATTTTTTTAAAATTTGAATTTAATCGGTACAAATTCTTCAAATCGATTCAGAAAATCCTTCAGATTTTCACTTGTTTGATTTGAATTTATATATGTTGTATCCGATTTGGATTTTTATTCGATTTGGATTAAACTCACCGCGGATATCCGATTTGGATTTCAATTTCAATCCAAATCGGATATCTGATTTCGATTGAAACATTATTTCACAGTAGGGTGTCATGTTTTTAAAAGGTTTTTAATCATATTCTAGAAATTTTGTAGAGGTTTAACTCTGGAAACCTAGAACAGTCCGTTAGCACCACCTTTGCCCAAAAAAGTAGTTTATTTACGCGTTTTAACATGTTTCTCTATTTTTTATGTATTTAAAAAAGGCTTTCCTGTATTTTAATGTGAATTCAATTCAAAACCCTTTTTTAATTAGCGGCAACTTTATCGTAAATGAAAATAATCATAAATAATAAAATAACTGGTTAAGTAAGCAAATTGATAAAACTACACCTTAAACGATAACGATAAAACTACACCTACACCACGACTGTTCTCTTTGGATTTTGACGCTTCATTTCGCATTCTTCGCAGAGATTGACGAATAGAGTAATTATTTCACTAAAAGAAGGTAAAGCAAAAGCACAGCCAATTACATACTTTGAAATACCATAAAATTCTCTGAGTCCTTTCCACATCACGCATATCCCTGCATGTTCAACTTTTGTAAAGAATGTTGAAGAGTTCTTCTTGTTGAATTACTTGTTGCCTTTCTGGTTCGCTACCGGCTTTCCGTCGTTCGTCTTCGTGGTAAAGCGTGACTCGCGTGTTTTCGATTGAAAGAGTGTATCGCTTCAGCAAGTTGGCTTCATGATAGTTCATGTTTGAAGTCTCCAGTGTTGAATCGTTAAAATTTTTAATTTTATCAGCCATCAGCTTGTAGATTTCGGCTGCCGGAATTTGGCTCGTCTTTTTTCGCTCCAAGAAGCTGTTAAATTCCTCGTAGAAGCGTGACTCCATCTGTAAAACACCAACGTAAAATAAGATAAACAGCATGAAGACATAAAAAATACAGAAGCATGTCAAAACGCGTAAATAAACTACTTGGGCAAAGGTGGTGCTAAAGGACTGTTCTAGGTTTCCAGAGTTAAACCTTTATAAAATTTCTAGAAAATGATTAAAAACCTTTTAAAAACATGACACCCTACTGTGAAATAATGTTTCAATCGAAATCAGATATCCGATTTGGATTGAATCGGATATCTGATTGAAATCCAAATCGGATATCCGCGGTGAGTTTAATCCAAATCGGATACAACATATATATCGAATTCTTTTATGCAATCACTAGTTCATTAGTCAATTTACAGTTTAAAATGTAGAGTGATGAATCGCAGAGTTCTTCTATTGTTGAGTTGAACTCCCTGGCATCACCTTTTCTCAATTTTCGCTACTGGAACGCCGCACTTGCCATCTCGGGTAAAAGCACGGAGCTGATGAGCGACCAGGCTGACCCCGAAAAAACTCCTTTTTAAGACCCCCTTTTCTTGATGTGTCAGAAAGTGCGCGTTTGTGTGAACGCACAAAGAATGCTGAGCTGAAATTTGAGTACCGACTTTTTCGGGATATTTTATGCATTTATTTTATATCAAGTGCTAATTTTCGAGTTAGAATTAACCTATCGATTTCCTGTTTTTCTTGCTTAAATGATTTCTTTTAAAAATTTCCACAGAAATCAGGGTAAACATCGTAAATTTCGGGCTGAGTTGGCGTTTCCTCTTTTTTTTTTTTTTTGAAAAATGCAAACATTCAGTGAGTCATTGCTTTGAACAATTCAAAAGTCGGCATTGATCAATAAATTGAAAGGAAAACCATTGCCAAATCCTTTCGATTTATTTTACGCGATTAAATCTAAGCTCACAGTAAACTGCTCTTACATCAATCATATGCAATCGGCTTCTGAATGAAGATGAATTTTTTTTTATTTGAAACTTGCAAATTTAATTGGTTAATCTGAAAGTTAACTTAAAGAATCAGCCAAATGTTATTCTTAAAGCTTAAATTTATCATAAAAAGCGGGAAAAACGATTTCAGTTTGAAAATGAACTAGAAAAAGCTTGAAAAGTTGAAGATTGAGTTGCGCGCAAAAGGTTTCTTTTCATTCATCTTTCAAGTCTTTAATAAAAATCTCAAAAGCATCCTACAATCTGTATTAAGGATTTTTTCGTAGAAAATTATTGCAATTTACATATTAAAAAGAAATTAAACCGGTTCATAAAGCTAGAGTCAAGATGTAGCCAAAATAAACTGCGAGCGGTCATTCTGTCGTCCGGAGTTGGATCAGTGGTCAGTGATGATTAGAGTAGTAATCAGCTGGCCTTGACCTGGCCTAATCAGATTCTGAGCTTGGTTCTAAAATGGACAAATGAGCCAACCAACTCGTGGCCTGGGTCTGGTCAAATTAGGACCAGGTTTTGAATGATCTGTTCTGGCCCAGAACCGGTAGATATTGCATGAGCTTTGGGACGAAATCCTCAGTGATTCTTCTGGATTTCGGGGCATCCAAGTGACACTTTTCTGGCTCAGAATTTCATGGAGAATCTTCTTTTGACTGGCTGGCCGCCATAACGAGTCCACACTGATCAGATCCAGATCAAACCTTGATCCATTGTCATGCTATTTTTAGAAGTAGAGTTAGATCAGTGGCCAGTGATTAGCCTACTGGGCCCTGACCTGACCGTGATCCGATTCTGTGAATGGGTTAAGCTTTTGTAAGTCTAAAATGTCTAAAGCGTCTTTTAAAGTCAAAAATTTGGCCAGCTTAACTAAACCGCCGTCTCAAAACACCAAAAAAAGTGTCACCTGGTCCAGACTGGCCCAGGTTTAGTTTGACAAAAATGTTTTTTTTAAACAAGCATCAACAATGGATTAACTGCAGACTGCCTAACATTAAGTTGTCTAAAAAAAACGGTTTTCTATTTAAAACTTGCTCTTTTCGCTTGAACTTGATCTGCCCCAAAATTTGGGAGCCCATTTGCCGCGTTAATCCAAAAAAAAGCGTCACGAAAAGTGGAGAAACCAAGTCTAACTAATCCCAGCTTTTCCCTTCAAATGAAAAGTCTGCTCTCTTCGCTTTTTTTCTACTGAAATGACCTGATAAGGTTGAAAAAATCGCTCTTTTTTGGGAATAAAGTCGATTCCCGCAAAACATCCGTCTTTAGAAGGGAAGATTTTGCTGATTTTTAAACATTTCCCTCATTTCCGGTGAGACTTACGAATGGAATTCGAAAAATTTCATTGAAAACGCCTATTTTTGTTTATCTGTTCTGGATAGCTTTTTATCTTTTAAATTGGATAAATAGATAATGATTGCTTGAAAAGTATTTAAGATATAAAAAACTGCCGTAGAGACTGTAATAGTACCCCACCCCCATAATGACGGTGCGGAGCGGTGCGTAGTCTAGCTTTGAACGAGTTTTTCTCGACACTGGTTTATGCTACAATGCGCGCTTAGGTATCAAAAAATAGCCCTGAAATTCAGCTATTTTTTAATACCAAAGCACGCATTGTAGCATAAACCAGTGTTGAGAAATGCGCTTTGAAAAATCCCTTGCACCCCTCACACGAGAGAACCCCGTAGTGCGCATAGGCGGCTGAGTCACCGCAAACCGCGCACGAGTGGCATTCCTGTATTTTTGATTATGATGAAAATGAAATTATCGTAAATACTGTAATAGTACCCCACCCTCATAATGACGGTGCGGAGCGGTGTGTAGTCTAGCTTTGAACGAGTTTTTCTCGACACTGGTTTATGCTACAATGCGCGTTTAGGTATCATAAAATAGCTGAAATTCAGGGCTATTTTTTGATACCAAAGACGCATTTTTTGAAAGTACGGGAGTTTTGAAAAAAATGAAATACTAAAAAACTTTTGCGACTACGCGACTGTACGAGGGCGGTGAGGTACTATTACAGTATTAACGGTAGATTAAAATTTGCCATCAGTAACATATTTCTTTAAATCTCATGTTGCTCATCATCAGTTTTCTAGCTTTTCAAATAAATCACTTATGATAATTTTTACCGTTTTCTTTTGTCAGCAGCTTTCCTCTCCGATTTGAGATTGATTGATATCGAATTTTAAACAGTTTTCCCCATTGGATCAATCACAAATCCTATCTAAACCTCAAACTGCATAATTTCTCGCAGAAATTTTGTTTATGTCACCAAAAAAGTCACAAAAAAAGTTGCCCGGTCTAATAAGACACTAGAAATACCGTACCCTAGACAATGTCGGACAAAAGGACGTATAAAAGGACACCTCCTTCCCCATTTAGTCAAAATTTTCTCTCATTTGTCATTTTGTCTCATTTTCTGTCTCACTTTCTCTCATTTTGTCTTGTGAAAGTTGGATCTTTAGTTTCTTGGTTGGTTGGTTTGTTTCTTGTTTCTTTAGTTGACTTCTTTAGTTCTAAATGCTTCCACAATTTCCATCAAAGTGATTCCTTTTTATCTCTAGGGAAAAACATTGTTTTTTTGAACTTTGTTGAAACATTTTGGCCCACATTTATTGAATAAACTTGGTTTTTTTATTCATTCAAATCTAGTGAATTCATAGGAAAGCACACTAGTAATTCTTAAACAAAGATTAGTTTTATAGTTTAGTTTAAGACTAACTTTCTCATGTTTCTAATCTTTAAACAACGACCAGTAAATGATTTTAATGAAAAACATAAGCTTAAATTTTGTTTTCTTTTCTTTATATTCTTTCATTTGTACTCCAAAGCTAGCTCGTTTCAATAAGCATATCAAAGAGTGTCTTAAATCTTTAAAGGTCTATTTTTCGGTTTCAGGGTGTGGCTGTGAATTGTCAGTGAGTCATTGCATACTGCCGATTAATCAAAATCCGGTTTTTGAATTGTTTACGAACCTGATTCTTGACAAAAGCCGTTAAATTTTTATCAAATCAATGAACTAAATTAGGCAAAAGTTGGGGTTCTTTTAGCATAAGCGTACAAGTCGAATGCCTTTTCTCTTTGAATTCTTTCAAGATTTCTTCAAGACTGAATTATTCTAAACCTTTTATGTGTTTTCACGATCCTTTGTTGTCGTCAAAGGCGAAGATGAATGCGTGGTGTCGCCCATTTCTCCCAGTCTCGCCTCTTCTCTTCTCTTCACATCGACCATCCCCATTTTCACACTTTCACATAAAAATCTCATAACTCTCGTCTTATCTTTATTTTCTTTTTCTTTTATTTCCTTTTTTTCCCTCAAAATTGATTCCTTTTTGAGTCTGCCGGGATTTCTTTTTTCGAATTTTTAACTGTTTTTCAAGCACAGCTACGGAAATCAAAAAATTTGATTATGCAAATTTAGGCAACCAAATTTGTGTGTTTATGCCGGGAAAAGTGGTGTATTGGTGTGTTACAGGAGTTTTCAAAATCATCTATTTATCATTTAGGTTCTGCTGTTTACTGATCGTGTTCTTTGTTGGAAAGATTTTAGCCGAAGGTTTGCTTTGTTTTTGAAAGTTGAAAATCCTAACAAACTAGAGGGTATTCTATCATTTCTTCACATTGCTTTACTTCATTTCATTTTCCGTTTTAAGCTTGGCTAACAAAACGCTAAGATTGACGACAAACTAAGGCAAAACTTCCTTCTGCATTCACTTTACAGGACATGAATTCACTTTACAGGACATGAATTCACTTTACAGGACTTGAATTCACTTTACAGGACTTGAATTCACTTGAGTTCGACTAATTCGACTAGTTCAAGCAAAGCTAGACATCATCAACGGCAATCATTAACGAACAAAGTTCTGAATATAGCTCTAAGTCAATTCTCACAAGCCAGTTTCACTTACTGCTTAAAATAGACAACTAGAGAACATTCTAAGCGTGACGCTGACCTTTTGAAATTAGATTTGTACTATTTTATTGACCAAAAGAGTAGATAGATTGAAAGTAGATTCAAATTATCGATGTCAAAGTAATTCAAGTACTTAAAAATAAGCTCAAACTTCAAGATTTACTTAGTTCCATTGGCCAGAAAATTCCCTAGTCCTTTGCAGACGAATCGTGGATCTATCGCCTAAATGTGCAATCATTTCTCGGTGATGGATCCGGTCATTTGACTGTGAACAAAGATGGATCATATCATTTTATTTCACTGGCAAACCTATGGAGTTTATTCATCATCGATGGGGAATAGTGAGTTGTAGTTTTAGAAAAAAAAGTACCAATCATTTAGTTGCTATCCGAATTGTCGAGGCACGATAAAGAATAAACCGCTCAAATTCTACATTGCCCATTTTACTCCAATCTATGAAATCTTTGAGATATCAATGAATGAAACTGGATTATTCTTTCAGATCGAGGTGATGATTAGATTTGATCAAACGATCAAACGGATTTGCTCTTCTTGATTCAATTCGGCTACTGTACTCTAGGATTACTGTAGCTTTTCTTAAAATCGGGATTACGATAGCTTCTTTTAACATTTTATCTACATTCTATCGATTTTTTGAGATTACGGTATCCAAAGATAAGCTCTTATATTCAATTACCGTACTTTAACTTTTCCTGACGTCCGATTACGATAGTTTTCTATCTGTCTTTTTGGGTTATGGTAGTGTTACCTTATTGTAATCTTTCTATAGGTTTACGCGAGCTTTTTCGAAGCAAGAGTATGCCAGAGTGTGCCTGTTACTAATTTTTGAATCCAACTTTGAATCAAGTGTAAACTTTGAATCAAATTCCATTTCAGAATTGTTCCCAAACGATTCACGAATCTGAATCCGTTCATTTCTCGGCTTTGAACTTTATCAATTTGCCGGCGAATATTTGCATTGCCGAAAATCATGTGCAACATGTTTCTTTTCAATGTCCCGAATCGAGAGAAGGAGCAGATTATTGGTAAGAGAAAGTTTTCAGGATTAAATGATCTTTCTGTTCAGTGGTCGACTACCGCCAACAACTGCACCAATCGGTCAGTTTTAATATAAATATTAATTACAAATATTGATTACAAATATTGATTACAAATATTGATTGATTATTGATTAGAAAAGTAATCATGCTAAAAAAGCAAAAAAGGCAGCTAAAAAATCAACAAATCTAGCTTTAAACTGTTTTTATGTTCAAAAGTTTACTCTTAAAGCCAAAATAAAGAGTTGAGTTGATTAAGAATATCAAGAATATTAAGAATATTAAGAATATTGGCTTGGCTCTCTGAGCAGCTGAAAACCGAAACTGGTTTTGAAGTTTATAATCTTTCAACATGGTTGGCTATTGTTTCTGGACAAAGCCAATAGAAAAATACATGTTAAATACCTATTTTTATTGCTTTTTATTGCTTTTTATAGCTTTTTATAGCTTTTTATAGCTTTTTAAAGCTATTTCTTTAGCTTTTTATAGCTTTTTCTTTAGCTTTTTATCGATCTTTAAAGCTTTTTATAGCTTCTTATAGCTTCTTATAGCTTTTTATAGCTCCTTATAGCTTTTTATAGCTTTTTATAGCTTTTTATAGCTTTTAATAGCTTTTAATAGCTTCTTATAGCTTTTTATAGCTTTTTATAGCTTTTTATAGCTTTTTATAGCTTTTTAAAGCTTTTTATAGCTTTTTATAGCTTTTTAAAGCTTTTTATAGCTTTTTATAGCTTTTAATAGCTTTTTATAGCTTTTTCTTTAGCTTTTTATCGATCTTTAAATCTTCTTTCTTAGAACCCTATCATTTGTGTATTGACGAAAGAAATGGACACGCCGAGGCTGATCTCGACTTCACAATGTCTTCAATAATCACTTATGAAATCATTCCGAATTATATGCTGGACAAAGGATCAAACTTTTCGATAGATGGAGTCATGTTTGTTTAACTTCAAGTAATTTTAACTAAAAAAAGATCTAGATGCGCTGAACCGTTTTGTTCTGGAACCCTTTCTGGCCCAACATCGATGGATTATTTCGATTATGGAACAGTTTTACGATTCGAACCGCAAAATGGTGACAGTGGAATGGTTTTGTTCACGTTGAATAAGGATTCGGTGAGTAGATTTGAGATCTACAGATGTATTTTGTGCTCAAAAGTACTCAAAGCCTTAAAGCAATGGTTTGGCGAAGAGTGGGCCAGAAAATTTTTGTTTCTTTCTTTAGTTTTTTTTAGTTTTTTCACGAGATTTGCAAATGTGAGACTCGGAAAATTTGTGAAAATGGTGAGGTGATTTTTGTGAGCACTCTTTGCCCAAGAGCGGATGATGAACCGCCGAGGTATTGCCAAAGAAGTGATGTTTCTTGGTGAGTCTTTTTTGGAGTACGAAAGCTTGAGTCTTTGCTCATTCTATTTAGTAAATGATCCAAATTTGAACTCTAATTGAGTCTTGGCATTCGAATATTTCAGCGGAACAACTTCTCCGTCGATTGAGACGACGATTGATGGGTATACACCAGAAGAAACTACAACGACAAAAGCAGAAACAGGAACGAATACCATAGTAAGTTATTCTCATCTCAAACACACTGGAACTGCAATATCTAGAAATCGACTCTAAGAGATGACAAAGGTGCTAGTGGAGACAAGGTTTTGTGTGAAAAATCCCCATGCACTTTTTGAAAATCAAAGCACCAAGCATGCAACTTAAAAACTCTTGAGAACTTTTCATGATAAAGTTTCAGTTTTAGGATGATAGAACAAGTAGACGGACGATCGTTTCAACTACGATGACGACAACGAAACAATCAACCACATCAACAACTCATACACATCCTCCACCCACTACAACCGGAACGAAAACAACGGCAATAACAACAGCCACAACTCCGACAATCGGTTGGTTACTACTTACAGTTATCAGGAGAATTCATTCAAAGAAAGTGCATCTTGTTGAATTGGCTTTGTTTAATCTGAGGCTGCAGACAAAGAATTGGCTTTACAAAGATGTTGAGTGTCTAATAATTGAGTTGAATGAATTGAATTGAATTGAATGGATTGAATGGATTGAATGGATTGAATTAAATGGATTGAATGGATTGAATTGATTCTTAAATTTGAGCCAGCTCTTGTAAATTTGTGTCCACTCAAAAAAGAGCTGAAGAATTAGAGTTTAGAAGAAAAGAATGAGCGTAGTTTCTCCGAGTTTTGAATCTTTAATTTCTATAAGCAAACTGATGCCTTGATTCTATAATTTTAGTCACCAAACCCACTACGTCTACCGTAACGACCTGTGATCCAAGGTTTAGTCGAAATTTCTTTGTCCTCTAATCGATTTTCCAGTGTTTAGCACGACTAGTAGGAGCACGGTTACATTTGTTCCCACACAAGAATCAGCAACAACAGCTACAACAGCTACAGTAGCTACAACAGCAGCTACAGCAGCTACAACAACAGCTACAACATCTACAGCAGCCACAACAACAGTAACAGTGAGCACAACAACAAAACCGACAACGACAATATGTCCTTTGTGTGGCACTGGAGCGCCTGTGCCTTTACAGAATATCTCTGATGTAAGCTAGTTCAAAGTTTAAAGCTTTGTTTTGCTTTGCCTTGCTTTGCCTTGCTTTGCCTTGCTTTGCCTTGCTTTGCCTTGCTTTGCCTTGCTTTGCCTTGCTTTGCCTTGCTTTGCCTTGCTTTGCCTTGCTTTGCCTTGCTTTGCCTTGCTTTGCCTTGCTTTGCCTTGTTTTTTGCCTTGCTTTGCCTTGCTTTGCCTTGCTTTGCCTCTTTGCCTTGTTTGCCTTGCTTTGCCTTGCTTTGCCTTGCTTTGCCTTGCTTTGCCTTGCTTTGCCTTGCTTTGCCTTGCTTTGCCTTGCTTTGCCTTGCTTTGCCTTGCTTTGCCTTGCTTTGCCTTGCTTTGCCTTGCTTTGCCTTGCTTTGCCTTGCTTTGCCTTTCTTTGATCTTTGCTTTGCCTTTCTTTGATCTTTGCTTTATCATAAAGTTTACAGATTCCAGTCACCCCTGAAAACGTGAAACAGATCCTCAACTTAACCCTCGCATATTCTGGTATTGATTTCCCAAAACATTCCCAATTATCTCATTTTTCGATCTTGGCAATCAACTTAATTCCACGGATCTCTACTATATTGCGAACATTTTGCAGAATTGCTCAAAGATCAACGGGTTGAATCAAACGGTTTGCTTCGTTTTAAAAAATAAAATAAACCCTATAGTTACAGTAGGTTTACAGTTTTTTTTTGACATTAAAATTGTAAATATCTAAATAAATATCTATAAATCTAAACAAAGCTAGCCTAATCTAATTCTAAATCTTTCCAGGAAATGCATTTGATCATGGTGAACGTCGACAATGTGCTGCAGGCTGGTGATCAAGCTTTTGAACAAGATTATGAAGCTTACGGACAAGAACATGCGACTGCTAGGTGGGAAATTTATAAGTTTAACAATACACTTGAAATTTATGATACAATATTTCACCTAATTCACAGTATAAGTACGAAAGAGTACTCAGTTTTTAAGCCACTAACCTGGCCTCAGGATCTGTCAGACCAGGCCAGAGCCTGCCCAGATCAAGCCTTGCCTTGCCTTCCAATTTTGATTTCTTTTAGAATCATGTCGGCAATGCATTTGGCGTCTGTTAATGCAAATCATGATGTCGATTTTATGTTAGGAACAAATATGGGCTACGCGAGTCGAAAATTGAATCGAACAAAATGTGAAACGTTTGGAATTGTGGATAGAGGTTGGGGAAAAATGAAACCTACTGCTTTCAAGCTAAAGATTTCAAGATTATGTTTCTCTAAATTCAAAAAATTGTGGTCAAGTGAATGCTAGGGTTTTTTGCGGGCTTTTGTCTCGATGGGGATTCAAAACAGGGAATCTGGAGTTGATTCGAAGACATTTTTGGGGAAATACTTGATAACCCGACAACTCCTCCAAGAAAATGGAAAAATGGAAAGGAATTTGATATACCTATAGATATGTGATAGAAAGTGAGCAAGGGGGAAATGGGAAAACGGGGAGAGAACGCACAGAGAGAGCTCTTTGAGGAGGTGGGAGAAGAGAAAGAACTCTGACTTGTAAACAAAAATAAACAGTGTTGAAGACAAATGGGGAAAGGGAAAGACTGTCTTTGATGTTTATGCTAAAAAGTTGAAAGTGTTTTCAACTAGAACAAACGACTCTTGTCCGTCATTTGTCGCTGACACTGACTTGACTTGTCGGTTTTTGAATGAATAGTTGCGCTTAGAGGGTTCATAACTTTCTCTAGAGATAATATTATCGTTAATTTAACGGAAGACAATTCAGCTTTTCAAATGATACAAAATAATTGATTGAAAATCTTAAAGAACTAAAGAGACAAAACTTTCAAATGGGAAAACGGGGAGAGAACAGAGAGAGCTCTTTGAGGAGGTGGGAGAAGAGAAAGAACTCTGGCTTATAAACAAAAATAAACAGTGTTGAAGACAAAACAGCTGGGGAAAGGGAAAGACTGTCTTTGATCTTTATGCTGAAAAGTTGAAAGTGTTTTCAACTAGAACAAACGACTCTTGTCCGTTATTTGTCGCTGACACTGACGATGACGCTTGTCTTGTTGGTTTTTGAATGAATAGTTGGGTTAGAGGATTCATAACATCGTCTAGAGATAATATTATTGTTAATTTAACGGAAGACAATTCAGCTTTTCAAATGATACAAAATAATTGATTCAAAATCTTAAAGAACTAAAGAGACAAAACTTTCAAACAAAATCGCTTCAGTCAGTAAAAATTGTAAAAAATAAAATCTAATCTTAAATTTCAAGAATGAAGAACTTAACTTTTAAAGATTAATAAGTCAAATTTTTCAGGAGAAGGAGAGGATTTTGCGCTGGATCCAGATGCAGCTGATGGGAATGCAAAAGGCGATGGAGCCATTCAAATCCCGGCTGATTTTCTTTGCTCAACTTCAGGTTAGCTAAAGACGAAAACATTTCTACAATATTACAGCAAATCTATTATGAATATCTTACACTTAAATTCCGAATTTGCTCTATTTCCAGCTACACACTCAGTGTTGACGATCATACGCAATCGTCGCCCGTTCGTTGGCGGCCGAAAATACAACACGATTAGTCAAAAGAAGACCCCGGTGGCCACATTTGCTCAAACGAATCGGGTTTGTTTTCGGTTATATAAAAGAATAGCTTCAGAAGTACTTTGATACTGTAAATTGTATCAAAAGTATCTTTGATTTCTTTTTCAGGCAGTTGACCCTGATCCAAACAAAGATTTCTTGATTCCGCCAGCGCCAAACAAATGCGATAAGCAACAATATTTGCAAGGTGAGTTTTGAGTACCCTAAAGTCGCGAGTATAAGTTCTGTTTGGTTTTCGCATGCAAATTGACGGCTGTCTCCGGTGCGGTGTGTCGAGGGTTCGAACCCCGCTGCAGCATAACTTTTTTGCTTTTTAAAAACAATAATAGAAGTAAATTTATTGAGGTTTATAGCAATTTTATGCTGTTATTTGTTGCTCCGGGCGTGGCTCGGCGCGTCCGCCCTGCTCCTCTCCGGTGCTCAGTCTTATGGATCCCTCCATGGCCTCTTCATCCGGCCAAAGTCCACGTCGACGGTCGAAAGAGATGCTTTCCAGCGTCTCCTTCAACACTATCGTCTGGATGTACCCATGCACATAACAAATAGCAATGGTGATAGGCTGTCACTCTGTAGTATCCCGCGCTCCAAGAGCTCCAAGAGAAAAGTTTATATAACAATAAAAATGTATAAAAACCCAACAAAAAGAAATTCAAAGCGATTAAAGCGAATGTAAATTAAGGCAGAACTTATACTCGAGACTTTAGGGTAATTCTTTAATCACTTTAAAGAATTAATAACCAAGAACATTGCTGCTATTGGATTTTCTTTAGAAAAGAAAAATTTTAAAATAAAGATCAGCTTCAAAATTCATTTGAGATCTGAATTATTTTTCAGATACTGGAAGCGTTTTCACAGCAAGTGCAATCGATGGTACAAATCCTGATGAGCTGGTTTATATCAGGAAAGCCGGTGCCACTTCTCGATACAAAATCACTGCAAATATCCGTATTGATACTTCAAAGGTTTTGCAATATTATTTTCAATACAAAGAAAAGCTTTTAAAGTACCTGAGACCGTTGCATGGGGATTACAAAGTCTCTTGGTGGGACACGACAGAATTGAGTTGGGCCGATGATCAAGAGTGCACAATTGTATCGCATAAAAAGGGGCAGCTCATTGCTGAATGTGATCATTTGACGGATTTCACGCTGCTTGTGGTTAGTTCACTTTTTTAAAACCGATTTGGCATGTCTAAACCTTTCAAAGTCCACTTCTAAGCCCACTTTGGTATTCTGTGTGTCCAAGCTACCGTAATCCAGATCTCTACACTAGAGCTGTTCATTTTCCGATTGTCAATAGGTGTACAAGGGAATTTGATCACTTCAATAGCTAATTTTTCCGATTTTCTTGCCACATGGAAAGGTAGAAAGGTAAGAATAAAATTCAGAAAAAGTAGAATTTCTTAAGCTCTATCTTTTGGTCTGAAAAACCCCTGAAAAAGTTGCTGTTAAAGTGGTCAAATCTCGTTTTCCATAGTACACTTATTGACAATGAGACCGACAAATGAACAGCTCTACTCTACACTGAATCTTTATTTATTTTACGCTTCCTATTTCTAAACTATTGGGTTGGGGAGAATGAGTCGGCGCCGAAAATGAAAAAATGTCTAAAACTTCTATTCGACTTCGTCAAATAATATGCGTTTGATATCAGTAGAATGGTTAACTAATTCTCTACAAAATCCCATTTAAAAGAAAATTCAAACAGCGCCTCCGCTCAAGAAAAAGCCATTTTTTCACAAAAACTACAAACTGTGATCTAGAAAAAACCATTGGAGGGATCTTCCTGAAAATTTGGTAACTTATGTAATTGAGTGTGCTCTATCTTTTTTATATAAACACCAAAGAAGGTTTATGTGAAAGAAACTGTTCAAATGATGAGTCGGACTCTTTGCCATTTTAACCAGCTGCGTTTGGAAGTTCATAAACTCCACGAAAGAAAAGCTTTGTGGAATCTCTCAAAAGTGATTTTGTAGAGAAATAGTGGATCCTTTTGATGAAACCAAACGTATGTTTAAAGAAGGCTTTATGTGTGCAAAAAGTCCCTTTAAAGTTTGGCGCCGACTCATTCTCCCCAACCCAATACTTATTGCTACAGTAATCTTGGATTAACCTCTACTAATTGGACGACGGACTATGGTAGCAAGCTTATTTGGCAGATTCTGATTTCAGATTATGAATCTCAATACTCGATTTAGTAAGATGTATCTGGTCCGGAAACGAAAGCTCACGGAAAGTTCGTGCCTTTCCCTAGTAAACTTTGAAGAGCCTCCACTATCGTAGTCCGTCGTCCAATTAGTAGAGGTTGATCCAAGATTACTGTAGCAACAAGTCATTTAGAAATAGGAAGCGTAAAATACATAAAGATTCAGTGTGGAGTAGAGCTGTTCATTTGTCGGTCTCATTGTCAATAAGTGTATAATGGGAAACGAGATTTAGTTAGACAAAATACAGTACTTGAACTTTTAAACAAGATTACCCAGGACTACCCTAATTGTATAGCATTGTTTATCGTCGTGATTCTAATTTTAGGACGGTGTTGTGAATGATCCGTGTCTTTGTGATGATACTTTGATCGTCATTGGCTATATCATCACCTCAGCATCAATTATTTGTCTCTTCATTATGCTGACCGGATCGATTTTGGCTTAGTGAGTGAAAATTGATTGATCTTTTAAAAGAACTCTTGACGTTGAAGTATCCAACCAGCAAGATTTCCGTATTAACTAGACATGGGAAAATTCTAAAGCCGAATCAAATTCCATCTTCGTTCTCTCGGCCAAGAATCGGCCAACTAGTATCAATTAATTGGTCGATTCTTGGCCAACTAGTTGGTACTAGTAATAGCAGTAAGTGGAAGATTACCACACTGTTCCTCGGGGCCAATTTTCCAAGACAAACCAAGCCAAAAGTCTAGCCTAGAAAAAGCCTAGTTCTAGGCTTTAATAGCTTTTGGCTTTTTGGAACCCCTAACTACCACACTAACATCTAATCAAAGAAACCAATTCCACAGTTAAACAGAAACAGTTAAACATTTCAGTTTTCACACCCTTCGCCGCTACTATATTATCAGAAAAATTGCTGGCTCTTCGTTGCAAAGAAGAAACAAGCTCACTCTCCTTTACAACATCACTTTATTCCTTTTCTATCTCGTTTTCACAATTTTCTCGGATCAGAAAATTTCGGGTGATGCCTGCGATGTGTTTGGCGCTATCTCATACATCCTCTTGATGGGGTAAAATGATTGAAATTTCCTCCGGAACTCCTGAATTTAGTTGCATTCTGCTAACGGTTTTTCAAGCTCTCCGCACGGTTAGTTTATTCTATTCGGATCGAGAGTTTATGGGGAAATTTCTGCGATTCACACAAAGTTTCACGATAACTGTCGTTGCGTGTTATGGTAAAACGATTTAAAACGATTTAAAACAATTTAAAACAATTTTCTTTTAGGCACTCCAACTGTTCTCACCATTTTCTTATTCACGATGACGAATTTCTTTCAACGACAAGATGGATAGTAAGTTTGTTAGATCAAAAATGATCAAAAATAGCCTCAACTTTCCATAACACTTGTTGATAGAGTTTTAAATTTACATTTTAACTCTGCGTAGCCGCATTTCTAGGTAACAGCACAGCCGCATTTCTATGCAAATCGCAGAGTAAAATGCAAATTTAAAGCTGGCATGGATAAGATGAGGCTACTTGAAAAAATGATTGCCTATTTTCATTCCAAAGGATTTTTTTTTCAGTTGCTGGATCCGTAGTGATTATATAATCTACGGAATTGTCATCCCGTTATCATTCCTCTTGCTGAACGCAATCGTTTGCACTCTTCTCGTCGTTCGAAGGCTTTTCTGTATGGGAACATCGAGTTCAAGAGTCAGTTTTGTTAAACTAACTAGTTATGAATTAATCTTTGTTGTGTAGAGCTGAACTAGTCATAGCCATAGCCGGCCTGGCCTTGTTTGGTTTGGATTTGGTCCCTGGACCAACTCTGGTCCAGAGATAAGGCTTACAAAAGATGTAAATGGGAAAAAGAACCAATAATCTAGCCGGCGGGATTGAACGTTTAGCCTCCCGACTAAGATACAGGGCTCTTAGCCATTCGGCCATGAACGCCGCAAGAACTGTTCGAGAAGAAGAGCGTCATGAACCGAAAAAACTAGGCCTGGCCCGGACAGGAATCGGGAAGTTTGAGAAGTGAACCGGTGAATTGGAAAGCTTGCTCAAGACTCTTGCTTCTGATCTTTTCACTCACTTTGCGCTTTAACTGAACCAGCAACAAAGCTGTAGTTAAATGTGGTTTGAGGCTTAAGATTGAGATGTATAGTGGACGGAGTTGTAGAAATGAAAGCTACAAATGAAAGCTATAAATGCTCTTGTCCTTTAGATGCTCTTATCCAAAAATCACATCTCTCAACGCGTTGTCACCATTTTGCTCATGCAGTTGACTCTGGGAACACCTTGGGTAAGGAAAAATTTAGAAACACATAACACATGGCAACTCGAGTTCAGATTTTACAATACCTTGCCATCTTCCATCCGAGAACAACCGTTTGGCATTATCTATTCACAATAGTAAATGGGAGTCAAGGTGTACTCATTTTCTTATTATGGTTGTACAGAAGATGGAGGCAACAAGTCACAGGTTTCATTTTGAAAATTACTTCTTATTTTCTTATTTTATGTGCCTCTTGTCATGGCTTTTTTTCTTCACTATCGCTTTTTTTGTTTGGGATTTTCGTGCAAACAAAATATAGGTCGTGCGAAGAGGAGCACAGCGAAAGAGTTCACTCGAGAGACTTTTGTGGAAAACGTTTCGACGATCAGCGATTGAGCCGATTGAGCCGATTGATTTTGTGCTTAGTCTGTTGCTCTGTTTCTCTTTCTATTGCTTCACAAAGATTTAGGCATTTCAATTATCGTCTTTTTTCACTAAAGCTTGCTAAAACAATATTATTAGCTTGGCAGATTCGTCTTCATTTAAGCACTTTAATCCAGAAACCTCAGTTAATGATAATCGAAAAAAGATAGAGCACAAAAATTTAGATAAATAGCCAAATTTTCTGGAATAATCTCTTCAGCTGATTTCTTTCTAAAGCTTTTTATCAAAACTTTTACGAAAAATTAGCTTTTGCATTTGAATTTATTTGAAAACAGATTGAAATCGGCTTCAAATGATAGAAAATTGAATGCTAAACATCTTCTATTGAATCTATTACTTTCTTTTTATCTTTTATTGCTAAACAAACTGTCATTTCTAAGCATTTGTACAAAAAAAAGTGATCAAGACTTGTTCACCAAGCTAATAATAACTACCGTATTCTCTCTAATAGTAGTGCACCTGAGCGTCGTCTAAATTGCTCGAACTCTCGAGAACCGCTTATCAGAACCTATCGATCTGGGGTCGGAAAATGTAGCTGACGATGAGATCTTGTGGGGGATTTGAGTGTTGAGCCTTTGTGAAAACTTTCAACAAAGTTGGAAAGCGTTTAGCATTTACCGATTGTTCCCTGTTAAAGCAACTTTATTTTGAACGCTGTCGCATAGCCGTTAACTGTTTTACTGATAATTTAGTGTAAGTTAAAAGAAAAACTAAATTATTATAGTCATTTGATAGCCCTGAATCTCCTCCTGAAAACAAGTACAAAATTACTGGGAACTTTCTACAAAATACTTAAGCTTTCCTCGAGTTTCCTCGAACTCTTGAGAACCGCCTATCAGAACCTATCGATGCGGGGTCGGAAAATGTAGCTGACGATGAGATCTTGTGGGGGATTTGAGTGTTGAGCTTCTGCAAAAGCTTGGAAACCGTAAAATAGTCACCAACTCGGCTCGCCGAGGTGCACTACTATTAGAGAAAATACGGTATTATAGTTCAGTAGCAGAGTTAAAATGTTAATGCCTTTTGGAATGGTGCCAAAAAATTAGTCCTTGATCTAAACAACTTCTTTATCTAGAAACTGATACTATTGGGGCATTAGGACAAATGGGATTTAGTCCTTGATTTACTCATTTTCATGAGCTAGCAAACGGTATAGCTATTTCTATTATAGTTCTCCAAAATTCTGCCCTTTCGTCTTGGTACTACTGTCCCAAAATCATTGCAACAACTATTATTGCTTATTATTTCTCACTCGTTGCCTCGATTGAAATGATTTTTATTTCAATCGACAGAAGAAAACATGCCGAATCTAATAATAACAAAACCGTTTCAATTGCGCAACTGATCTCTGAGATATTCGAGTTTAAAGTTAGATTGTCAATGGAATTAAAAAGCTGGCTGAAATCAAATACCAGATAACCGCTGAAATCCGCTTTTTAAACTCCTTTAATTATTCCATTTAGTTTTTAAATGCTTCTATTATTCTTAAAAAGAAAGTTTTACTTTAAAAGAACTTTAAAAGTTCATTGAAACGCTGTGATTCGATTTCAAAGAGATTTTACCAAATAAAAATGAAAAAAGTGTTGCTAACTTTTTGAGATGATCAAGTAGCTGTGTTTAGATTGTTTTCAAACATACAGTATCCTTTAAAAGTATCACTTGAAGTGATAACTGTCTGGTCTAGCCTCTGTGTCTTTAGTCCAGTAATTATCACTTATATAAGAGCGACACTTTCAATGACACGTAATCCCTAATAAATCTTTTTACCAGAGTACAGTACATAGTTAATTACTTAGCTGCCAACTACAGTACTCCTCTTGACCCGGGAGGGCTACTGTACTCAATAAAAGGCTTGGCTTTGCCTGGCTTGGCTTTGCCTGGCTTGGCAGGCTTTTTCCCTGGAATATTTTTGTATTTTCAATACTGGAGTATTTTCAACTGATACCGTAATCCCTAATAAATCTTTTAAACATAAACTTATTAATATTTTCGTTATTTTTAGTAATAATTTTATTGATTTACTTGAAATTAATATATAAAATTGTTTCAAAATTTTGTTGCAATAATTTTGGGATCCTGTACTACAGTAGGAGCCTACAGTTTCCCTGTAGACCTGGGGAAATTCCACCTGAAAACTAATTTCTCTTTTGTTTTCTTAGCCGATTGCTTTGAAATAATTTTGTCTACAAATATTGGGTTGGTGAATTGAAAACTGCGGGCTATTGTCATATGTGACAGTTTGAGCACTTTCTTCAAAAGAAACCCATTGTGCAGTGTGTGAGAGGATACCGATGGGGGCAATGATTATTAGATATTTATTCCGAATCTAACACAATACTAATCTATCGAGAAAATATATAAGAATAGAATCAATCGTTGGTTCAGTGTTTCATAGCAATACGAAAAGCAATACGAAAGGAAGGAGACAAGAATATGAAAGGACAATATAAAGTGGGCTCCGAAAAGAGCCGCTTTTCTGCACACCCATTTTGGTGTCAATGGAAAAGTTGTAGAGAATCAAAAATCAAGCTTATATCCAAATTTTCAGAACGATTCAAAAACTGGTTTTCAAGAAATGCCCAAATTTACGAATTCTCACAAAACTTGCATTTTAAGCGAAACTACTAAGTGTATCTTTTTAGAAATTTAGATATAAGCCTAATTTTTGATTCTCTACAACTTTTCTATTGACACCAAAATGGGTTTCTTTTGAAGAAAGTGCTCAAACTGGGACATCTCCACTCCTCCATTTTTGAGTCTCACACTTGTCTCACACACAAACCAAAATCCTACTACGAAAGAGGAATCCGCAAATTGCCTGTAAAATGGGCAGAAGTCGTCAATAATAATGGAAATTATTTCGAATGAATTAATGGTTTTATGTTCAATAAATTTTAGTTCAAAGTCCCGCAGTTTTCAATTCACCAACCCAATATAAATCAAGATTTGTAGACAAAATTTCAGAGCAATCAGTCAGAGAAACGGTCGAGAAACCGAAGGTGGATTTGGGTTTGGTTTGGAATTGAATTCATTCATTAATCAGAAAGTCATTAATCAAGAACTACAGCTGCTGATTTGCCTGCTTTAATAAAAAAAATTGTCAGATTGGAAACTGTTTTGAAATTCGAGATGCCCACAAAATTGGGTTAGCAATAAAAACCATGAATACATGACTAATAAACTCTACTGAATATGGTTTTAGCAAGCTTTCTGTGCAGCTTGCTCAGCTCACTTCTGTAGCTTTGCCCGTTTTCAAATCGTTATTTGTTTAAGATTAAATCTGAGCTGATTTTTTTTGTCTTTCTTTTCTCGATGAATCGATTCCAGCAACCCCAGTCGTCTCTCAAGAGTCTCCACTCAGCACCGCCTATTCTGATAGACGAAGAATTTCTTGATTTTACTTTTTTCAAAAAAACATTTTTGTACTGATGAATCTTTGATGATCTCGGGTTTTTTTGTAATAAATTTTCTTTAAAAAACGAATTACATATGAATTTGTGAAATCAGGAAAGAAAAAGGCACTAGGATACCAGTTTTCTGATTTCTGAGGTTCTAAAGTTTGAAAGTTTTCATTTGAGTAAGTGATAAGTTGATTTGAATACTGTAGTTGCTAGAATTGATAAGTGGTTCATGTAACGAATAATAGAACTGTGGTACTTTATTGAGTAAAGTGACCCTTCTGAGCACAGTAATCTAGTACAGTAACAGTACTGTATGCGCTAAGTGGATCAGAGCTACTGACTACAAACTTTACAGTCTACAGGAATTTATTGAGTACTGTAAGTCGGGTTACTGTACTCAAGGACAAACACTCTAGATCTTGTACTCAGAACTCAAGGATAATTAGTAGTCAAGGTACTGTAGATAATTGGCAGTTAGGTACGTGGTTAGTACCGTACTTTTATGTACTTATGTACCGTACTATTATGTACTTATGTACCGTACTATTAGGTACTTATCTACCGTACTATTATGTACTTATGTACCGTAGTATTATGTACTTATCTACCGTATTATTATGTGCTTATCTACCGTACTATTATGTACTTATCTACCGTACTATTATGTACTTATGTACCGTATGATTATGTACTTATCTACCGTATTATTATGTGCTTATCTACCGTACTATTATGTACTTATCTACCGTAGTATTATGTACTTATATACCGTATGATTATGCACTTATCTACCGTATTATTATGTACTTATGTACCCTAGTATTATGTACTTATGTACCGTACCACCTAAACTACTTATTAGGATGACTACAGTATCATTTACAAGTATCACTTGAAGTGAGAACTGTCTGGTCTGGCCTCTGTGTCTTTAGTCCAGTAATTATCACTTATATAAGAGCGACACTTTCAATGACACGTAATCCCTAATAAATCTTTTTACCAGAGTACAGTACATAGTTAATTACTTAGCTGCCAACTACAGTACTCCTCTTGACCCGAGAGGGCCACTGTACTCAATAAAAGGCTTGGCTTTGCCTGGCTTGGCTTGGCAGGCTTTTTCCCTGGAATATTTTTGTCTTTAAATTTATTAAACCTGTCTTTTGACTTTTTTAAAATCCCCAGAATACATAAAACAAAGATGAAAAGTGAAATTGGAGGAAACTAAGCAACAGAAAAAAGCGTTGCTTAGTGAAATGGACTCCAACCAGTTTCAAAAAATTCAAAATTCATCAAAATTCTAGAAGCTTTCATTTTCTAAACAAAATAGTCACCCAAATGAAGATTCTATTGTTTTTCTTGTTGATTTTTGAGTCGGTCAAGATCTCTGATGGGAGTGGTAAGTAAAGAAATCTTCACCTGGTTAGAAAAGCTTTTGGGGTACTGTAGAATTGAAGAGGGTTACTGTAGTTGAAATCTGGAGTAGATCTACAGTAGATCTACAGTAATCTACAGTAAATTGTGAAGCTAATGCATTCCTTTTAGATGCGTGCATCGTTAGACTCAAAAATGTCACGACAACGACGACGACAATGACAATGACACCGAAAGAGACTACAAATAGAAGCACTACATTAATGATAGCAACAAAAACATTGAGCACTAGTACAAAAACTTCTAAGGCTGGCGGAATGACTAAGATTGACACTGCCAGAACTACAACAATGACAACAACATCTGCCAGCACTATCACAACTTCAACTACTCCTATTGGCCCAACTACAAGTACTACGACGACTACTACCACAACGACGGCGCCTGGCACAACTACAACTACAGCAAGCGGTACTACAACTGATCGATACCCTACTACAACAAGCACTACCACTACAAACAATCAACCCACCACAACTACGATCACAACTATCACTGGAGGACAGACAAATGCAACAACAACTACAATGACCAATGGAGGGCCTACAACAACAATGAGCACCACTCTAACTACGACAATAACGACAACCATTGGGAAACCAGCCAACAACCCGAACACCACTTCAACTACATCTCTAGAAACATCACCAACCACGACAACCATTAGAAAACCAGCCAACAACCCGAACACCACTTCAACTACATCTCCAGAAACATCACCAACAACGACAACCATTGGGAAACAAAAATTTACAGTTTCGCCAACAACAAGATCAACAAAGTCTTCAAGCAGGGAATCGACAAGTGAGACTGGGACGAGTACAATGACACTAATAGACACATTTCCCACAGCAAGCGAACCATATTTGACTAAAGGTTAGAAATTTTTACATCTATTTGAAATATTTTTGTTTAGAGCAAACAATCAGTCCTACGACTGGAACAGGTTTCGTTTAAAAGCAAAATTGTTAGAAAAGTTTCTAGATTTTTCTTTATTTGGCTCAGCAAGCACGATTTCTGTCACTAACGCCTCTGCAAAAAGGTTAAAGATGAGAAAAACTTTGTTTGAGAAAAAAAACGTTTAAATTTTCAGCTTTGAAAGCTCAATTTCGATGTCTTCTATTTTGAAAAGCCCTGGTTCAACGGCTCTTTCAAGTAAAGAAATCAATTTACATTTACAAAAGTCGTTAAAATCAAAAAAGTGAAGAAATCTGAGGGGAGGGGACTAGAACGCGAGTAAGAAATGAATGGCTCGTATACAAATCCCTTATCTCGTATACAAAAGCTTCGTAAATAAATCCCTTATCCCTCAGGCCAACATCCCATCCCACGCGGCGCTAGAAAAGCCTTTTAACCGAGCTGTTAAACTTCTAAACAAAACTTTTAAACAAAACTTTTAAACAAACAAACACTTGAAAACAAATATTTCGCGTTTGCGTGTGTATGCGCAACTAATTTTTGCGACATTTTGATCAGCTTAGTCGATTCTATTAGGTTGTCCAATAAGTAATGCGTGTTTTGACACGATTTTCAAAATATCACAAAATTAACAAAAGAGAACTTTATTAATCGATATATTCTCCACAACAATCAACAACATTTCTCCATCGTCCGAGCAAAGAGTGAAGTCCGTCATAATAGCATGAAGCTGCTTTCGATGAGAAGAAATCGTCGAGCCATTTTTGCACCTCGTCAACACTTTTGACTCGTTTCCGTCCGCAAATCGTTTAAACCAGCGCTGGCACTGGCTGATTGAAATTGAATCCTCTCCAAATGCGGCACAGATAGTTCGATGGCAATCCGCTGCAGTTTTACCTCGTTTGAAATCATACAGCATTGATGCGCGGACAACAAACTTTTTGCCTTTCATCTGCAAAACAACATATCTATTATAAAACAAAGGCAAATGAATAAAATAATATATAAAAATAAACACAAGATGCTGATGATTAAAAAGAGCATATATTTGCTCGAAGCGATTTCGCAATAGTTTCGAAATAAGTAACACGCATTACTTATTGGACAACCTAATATAATTTCTTGGGCGTCGTCAGACCGTCAGACCGTCGTCAGATCGGCGGTGGCGAGTTAGGGCACTTTCTTTGTTAGAAAGTCAAAATTGTTATCGAATCTAGGCAGCACAACTATTTCTACTGATTCAACGTCCACCATCGACAGTACAATTCCAAGAGACAGCCTCTTGACGAGTGGTGTTAGGTCTTCAATTGAAACAATGACAACAACAACAAGTTATAGAACTACAACGATCAACACAACACAATTTCCACAACTTCAGCCAACACTACGACAACTCTTGGGTAATTGACTAATTACTATCTTTTAGGAACGAGTGGAACAAAGACAAAAATCTTTTGGCTAAACACTGTTCCAGTATAATATACTGTGAACAGTGTTTAGCCAATAAGACTTGCTTTTCAAAGACTTCAAATGGAGATAAGCTTCAGATGAATGTTTCCTGTTGTTGAATGTCTTGATTTTAAATCAGAGAAACTGTTTTAGAGTGAAATAAAAGCATGGTTCGTTTTCACAGAAAACTCTTTTAGTTCAAAAACAATTGGATCAACTACTTTGGGCTCATCTGAACCAACAATAGCTACAACGGTTAAAGCAACTACTGCAACTAGTTCAACCTCTACAGCAACACCAGCAAAGACATCAACAATGTCACCAACAATGTCACCAACAATGTCACCAACAATGTCACCAACAAAGGCATCATTCCCGTGGTCTTCTATTGTCATTTCTTTGCAACAAGAGAATGCTACAAGTACTACTACTGAAGAAATCAGTTCAACTGATGTAAGCGATGGGAAAACTGCATCGGTAAATGAAAATGAATCTTTCTGAATGAATCATTATTTCTTTCTGAATTTAGGAAACTTTAACGACTGAACTCGGAAATGGTAAAAGTTTACCAACAATGAAAACAAGCACATTGGATTCGATGAATGGAACGATCAAATTTACAGATCAAGCTGATGAAAAGACGAATTTGATGGACACTACTAGCACAGTAATTTTTACTGGAATTTTGTAGTTAGGTAGTATAGGAAAATCTCACTGGAAAAGGAAAAAAGTATAGGAAAAGGAAACTCTCACTGGATCTTGACACTAATTGTAAATCTCGATTATGCTTTGCCCACACTATTTATTTTAATATTATTATATAATTAAACCATTGCAAGCTACTGTAAGGGTAAAAGTGTGAAGTGGAGTGTAACAATAAAGTACTCTGTTGTGATTTTTAATTTAAGATCCAGAAATCGATTACCAGTACTGGCGCCGCTACTACTGCAACCATCGGCAAAAGCTCTACTACTGCAATGACAACAATGGTAAAAATATACAAAATACTGTAAGAGTACCCCACCGCCCTCATATAGTCGCGTAGTCGCAAAAGTTTTTTAGTATTTCATTTTTTGCAAAGCGCCCGTACTTTCAAAACGTTCGTCTTTGGTATCAAAAAATAGCTGAAATTCAGGGCTATTTTTTGATACCCAAGCGAGCATTGTAGCATAAACCAGTGTCGAGAAAAACTCGTTCAAAGCTAGACTACGCAACACTCCGCATCATCATTATGGGCGGTGGGGTACTATTACAGTATTTACGGTATGCATAATATGCTAATTGATTAATATGCTTTCTAAAAAATGTTTTATTTGTTTAAAAGCTGGATCAGGAAACTTTGGAAGAAATATTTAGGAAGAAATCTCTTTTGAAGTGACAATGCCAACATCGGCAACAATGAAAGGATCGACTCGAAGTTTTTGAATCAAAAATCGTATTGTAAATTAATTGTAGCTTTAACAACAACTTCAACAACATCGACAACTTCACCGATCGCAAATACAACTCTGACTACTACAATGATCAATGGAACAAGTTCTACCAGTCAGCCAACAAGCTTCAAATCGACTACTTCAACAACTAAAACAACAGTCACTGATATAATGACTACAAAGGTTATATTTTTAAAAGCAATCGTTTCAAAAACAAAAGTTTAGGCGAGCATCTCAACAACTCCAGAAATCACGACAACCACAACAAGTTAGAGCTTATGCGAGCTACAATTCACAAACAAAATTAACAATTTGTTTATCTAATTATTTGCCATGTGCAGTTATATCTTTTATTTAAATTGTGAGACATTTGCCATTGGCAATCGAACTTTGAGCTCAAATATCTTGATGTTGAGTGGTCCAATTTTAATAGCTTTTGTACGAATCGACAGAGAAAGACTTGGCGCATCTAATGATATCAAGAATATTTAAATTTCGACAGCCCAACACCAAGAGATTTGAGCTTAAAGTCAGACTGTCAATGGCAAAATGGGCGGGCGCTTATCAAATGTCTGTTAACGTTTATTTGTCGAAAATTCTCACAGCACAAAAGAGCCCACATGCTTCTTCTGCTTCTACTTCTTTTTTCACAAATCTCACGATGGGTTCGACTACAGTTGGAGCAATGATTGGGTTGATCGGTTCAACGACAATGAAACAATTGATCAGTATGGTTTATTGCTTACTTATCACTTTTATCCAAATCTTCTTTTACATTTACTTTGACAACTCTATTCGTTTACTAATTAATATTTGTGGAATTGAATTACGGTACTATTGGGTTGGTGAATTGAAAACTGCCGGCTATTGTCATATGTGACAGTTTGAGCACTTTCTTCAAAAGAAACCCATTTTGATGTCAATGGAAAAGTTGTAGCGAATCAAAAATTAAGTTTATATCCAAATTTTCAGAACGATTCAAAAACTGGTGCTCAAGAAATGCCAAATTTACGAATTTTCACAAGACTTGCATTTTAAGCGAAACTACTAAGTGTATCTTTTTGGAAATCTGGCTGTAGGCCTAATTTTTGATTCTCTACAACTTTTCTATTGACACCAAAATGGGTTTCTTTTGAAGAAAGTGCTCTAAAATAAACAAGAAAAGAAAAGTTGAAGAAAACTAAGTAGCTCTAAAATAAACAGTCTTAGTTGGGAACTTTTGGTACATCCCCCATACAGTCCGGACCTCGCCCCTTCTGATTACGATTTATTCCGGACCATGAGTAATGAGCTTTCGGAAGAACACTTCGATCCAGAAGAAGCAGTCAAAAATTGGCTTTGAAAGTTTTTCGATTCAAAACGAAAATCCTACTACGAAAGAGGAATCTTCAAATTGCCTGTAAAATGGGCAGAAGTCTTCAATAATAATGGAAATTATTTGAAATGAATTCTCATGGTTTTATGTTGAATAAATTTTAGTTCAAGGTCGCGCAGTTTTCAATTCACCAACCCAATATAATTAGTATCTGTCTTCATTTATTAATTTTCTAAAACGTGTCTACTTTAGAAAGCTACCATAATACCAGCCAAATTTCAGGCAACACTCAATTCGAGAGCCAAAATTTCTCGACCACAACGAGTGAGCTGTTCAATGGATGTGAGTTACAACTTTTATAACTACCCTTTAAGGTACTGTAAGTATTGTCTTCTAGGATAATCAGATTGAATACTTTTTAAGTTCTGCTAGAATTAAAGCTATTCAAGTGGATAAATACAGTATCTTCATATTTTCACTGTTCCAGTTTCAACCACCACATTCGCTTTTCAAAGTATCGACACACTGGAGACACAGCCGGCACCTCGTAAGAATACTTTTGAATAGAGAAACTGATCTTATTTCAGTTCCAAGTTATTGCGATTTCCCGTGTCCGGATGGGTATTCGGATGTCGGGGAAAAGAATGATCAATGCTACAAATTGATGAACCCAACTCAAACAAACACCTATTCAAGAGCTTTGTCTTATTGTCAAGTAATGATTCGAATTTGAATTTATGGTAACTACAATGGTGCTAAAAGATACCGTCTTCTTAGCTTTTGTCTTATTACAGTAATCGGGGGTGGGACAAATGCGACCTTTTTTGCGCACCTGGACATTTGCGCACCTTTTTTTGCTGGAAAAGCCCTTAGGAAAAATCGTAGAGCTTCAAAAATGTTTTCCATAGAAGGGAATCGTATGCGTAGATTCCGAATTTCGACAAATCAGACCTCGCTGACACGTCAAATTTGGGCTAAAAGGCAAAAACTACGCAACTTAACGCTTTTCCGCAGTTTTTGCCTTTTAGCCCAAATTTGACGTGTCAGCGAGGTCTGATTTGTCGAAATTCGGAATCTACGCATACGATTCCCTTATATGGACATATTTTCGAAGCTCTACGGCCTTGCCTAAGGCCTTTTCCAGCAAAAAAAAGGTGCGCAAATGTCCAGGTGCGCAAAAAAAAGGTCGCATTTGTCCCCCAGTAATCAAATCTGAATCTCTCAAGCTTCAATTGAAGAATTACTTGAAATATTTTCCATTTTAGGCTGAATCCCCAAGTCGAACCATGGCCAATATCTACGATTTCCTCGACAAAGACGTTTTTGAGCTTTTCAGCAATCTGACGTGGGATTTTCTATTTACATTACTTTAATTAGTAGATTACTGTAATTAGATTGACTAACGCTCTAAAACGTGTCCACTTTCGGAAACTACCGTAATCCTACGAATTTTTATTCAATTAATCTATCTACTTTTTGTCTGATTCTGTGAGGATTAGAAAGAATATCGAAAATCGAATATCGAAAGAAAGGAAAGTAGATAGATTGGATAAAAATTAGAGATAAGATTACACTAAAGTCTCGAGTATAAGTTCTGCCTTAATTTACATTCGCTTTAATTGCTTTGAATTTCTTTTTGTTGGGTTTTTATAGATTTTTATTGTTATATAAACTTTTATTATTGTTCTTGGAGCGAGAAGCCATCAAGATCGCAACGAAACTTGGGATTCGTCCGTTTTCACCCAACAATTCATGCATTCAAAATTTCATGAGGCGGGATGGTTTGTCGATGCGGCGGAGGACGAGCGTTGGACAACCACTTCCAAAGGACTGTCAAAGCAAGAAATCATCTTTTCGATCGCTCTGTCGAGAATTTTATGATGTTTCACCAAACAATTTTGGAAATTTAGACGAGGTTCCGGTTCCATTCGACATTGTTTCCAACCGAACAGTCGAAGTAAAAGGAAAGGATGATATTTCAATTGCTTCAACGGGAAATGAGAAGACGAATTTCACAGTTGTGCTCGGAATTCTAGCCGATGGATCGAAACTCCCACCGATGCTCATTTTCAAGCGCAAGACTCTTCCTAAAGGAATTTTTCCCGGTGTGATCATTAGTTTCGAAGCTAAGCACAGAATTCTTTTTTATGTCGCTTTAATCGCTTTGAATTTCTTTTTGTTGGGTTTTTATACATTTTTATTGTTATATAAACTTTTATTATTGAGCTCTTGGAGCGCGGGATACTACAGGGTGACAGCCTATCACCATTGCTATTTGTTATGTGCATGGATACATCCAGACGATAGTGTTGAAGGAGACGCTGGAAAGCATCTCTTTCGACCGTCGACGTGGACTTTGGCCGGATGAAGAGGCCATGGAGGGATCCATAAGACTGAGCACCGGAGAGGAGCAGGGCGGACGCGCCGAGCCACGCCCGGAGCAACAAATAACAGCATAAAATTGCTATAACCCTCAATAAATTTACTTCTATTATTGTTCTTAAGAAGCAAAAAAGTTATGCTGCAGCGGGGTTCGAACCCTCGACACACCGCACCGGAGACAGCCGTCAATTTGCATGCGAAAACCAAACAGAACTTATACTCGCGACTTTAGGGTGCACTAAAATCTGTCCACCTTTGTAAACTACCGTAATCTTATCAATAAACAAATCACCGTAATCCTGAGATCAGCTTCTTACTGTAACAGATCATTCAGACAATCCATCTCGACTCCTCGTTTGTCCTTTGTCAACATGCTTGGCTCAGCAAATTTCAGAAATACGCACATGGTAAAATGACGGGATATTAAGAATTTAAACATCTATCCGTGATAACAAATGTGTAACTCATTGCTCTCAGGTTGACTTAATCCAATTGAGCGACGCGACGATCTACAATCTTCGTATCTCGCAACAAGCCACTTCTTCAGCTCAAATAAACGATGCCAACGCTTTCTGCAAGGCTCCAAGTTGATTAAAAGCTTTGCCTTTAAAAGAAATAAATAGAGTTCTGTGGCCTAAACAATTGCTCGTTTGAGATTTTCTATGATTACGAGAAAGACACTGAACTTTTGTTGCCCGGGAATTCGACAAGTGTCACAGGTTAGATAAGGTTTTAAATGATCAACATTTATCAATAACTTGTTAAGCTAAAGTCAAACAAAATCCATTTTCGGCTGGTACAACAATAAATCTTCCTTGTCTCATCAATTCGACCAAATCGTTTAATATCTCGTGCTCAGCTCGAGGTGAATGGAGTCATCACCCGACGATGCTCGCTTGCATTCAAGGTTTGAAAACCTGTTTGAAAACTGAAAACTTTCAATAATGTTAACTTGCGAATTCTAAGGACTAGCAATTCGGCAAATACAATTGTTAAATGAGAATCAGAGCGCATATCTCACAAATTGACTCACATTGACTCACAGATCAGATCACAGATCACAGAATTGACTCACATATCTTGCAGAACTGGCACAAGAAGATGACACCGACCAAGAGACCCCGTTTAATCAGATCGCTCAACCGTCCTGTCAATCGTAAGCTTGAAATAGAAGGAAAAAATGTAATCTACCGTATTTACTCGAATAGAAGACCAGTCTTCTATTTTTTTCAATCATCCCCTAGACCCCGTCTTCTATTCGAGACGGTCTTATAATCGAGGCCGGTCTTCTATTCGAGTAAATACGGTAATAATCAATAGCTAACTAATAACAGTGACATTTAGTTGTTATTGGGAAGGGACCACCTCGTGCTCGTACAATGAGACGATTGATGGCTATATTTGCAACTGTAAACCCGGATGGACGGTCGGTTTTAGACAATGGAAAGCTCTCAAATCTTCAGTACATACTCTATAGAAGTACTGCCCATTCTTACAGTAATATCTAATACTAATATCTTGGTAATCCACTAGTAATATCTACTAATATCTCAGTAACTCTCTAAATCCTTATTCACAGAAATTCACGTGTTGGAAAGCGCCGGATTTTTGCGGAAATCTTTCATGCATTCATGGATCTTGTATCACCGTTGAAGAGAAAGCATCGTAAATTACAAATTATTCGTTTTAAAACGATATTCCACAACTTTGAGTGTTCGAATTTCAGTTGCAATTGCGAGCCGGGTTTCATGGGAGTTTACTGTGAAATCAACAAGTCGAATTATGCATTTTTTGGAAAAAACGGATCGGTGAGTGCGTAAACTGGTAAAGTATTGGTTTTATCTTTTCTTTCTTCTTTCTTTCTTTCTTCTTTCTTTTCAAATCTTTCCAATCCTTTTCTCAGTTACCCTACGCAAATCTGCCAACTTTGGGCACAGCGATCCTCGCCTCAACGAACATTTTGGTCTTGGTGCTGAAGTACATCATGAAAGTGGTGATCTTGGATGAATGTGAGGTATGAGAATTGAGCTTATAGTTAGATTATTAGTTTAGAATCGAATAGAGTAAGATATTAGTAGATATTACTAGTAAGATGTTAGAAATCTAGCTAAACCTAACTAACTAAAAGATTGTACAGGGTATTCAGTATTTACTAACTTCTTTTTTGTAGATTAACTCCCAAGCGTCCAGTTTAACTCTAACGTCTTAAGTATTTTATAAAATATTGAAGCCCTTAATCTTGGCTACATTTATCTATGAAAAGTTTCCCGATTGAAGATATACAACTTTTAAAAGCCCTTGAATTAGTACTAGTCGATTTTCTGAGCACACTGCCAGTCTCAATATTCAAGAGCTTGTAAAATCAGTTGTATATCTTCAATCGGGAAACTTTTTTCATAGAAAAATGTAGCCAAGATTAAGCGCTTCAATATTTTATATAACACTTAACACATTAGGGTTAAACTTGACGCTTGCGAGCTAATCTATCAAAGGAGTCTAAGTCTTGAACACCTGCAGCTTTAGGTCTGTTTCAAATGCCTTTAGGTCAATGGTGAAGTCTTGGCTTGGGTTTTAAATTGGCTTTTACCTGTCTTTTCAATTCTTGGCTCAAAATAAAAGCTGAGAAAACATAAAGAAATCGTTTCTGACATGGCAACATGCCCAATTTGACTTTTGGGTTAGATGGGCATAGCCTTTTGAGGTCAACTGTAAAGTACTAGTAATAAAGAAGTAAGGAGTTGGGAAGAAAATTAGATTCCCGGAGAGCAGATTTCCAGGTTTTCTAGCAATTCTCTAGCCACTGAGCCATCCGATACCTTTACTTGCCAAGAGAAAGAAGGAAAAACAAGGAGGAAGAAGAAAGAAAGAAAGAAAGATGGAAAGATGAAAAGACGAAAAGGCATGAGGTTTTAACGGTACTTGTGACTGCCAGCTGCTTACACCAATTTATACTTATTCTTTTAGCTGGCAAACTTTAGTTTATCAGTACAGTCTTATCTTTCTCCCACATTTTCCAAATTAAATGCTAATCCCAACCAAATGCTGAATGAGGTGTACTACTGGACCATGAAATATCATATTTGAAAGATCGTCACTTTCGCGCGTCTGTAGCTCCCTTGTCTTTATCGTGTTTCTAAATATTAATATTACCATTGTGTAGCCATTGAAAAGAGCTTTCAGAAAATGTATAACACTAATAGTTTAAACTCAAAGAGAAGGGAGTTACAGACGCGTGAAAGTGACGATCGTTTTTCAAATATGATATTTCATTGTCCAGTACTGTATGAAAAAATAGACAAAAGTACCGTATTTTCGTAGCTCATTTGTTAAGCGCTTAAAGGAAAAGTTCCGGATTCAAATCACTGGCCATTCTTTGTATCCCCCAGCTCCAGTTCATAAAAAAGACTTTCCAACTAATCCTCATTTTCATTCAGGATCCACAAGACACCTATCAAGACATTCGTCATCTTTTGCTTTCTGTCGGCAACCTTGCCGCTCACTTTTTCACTCATCCGGAAATGTTTGGCGTAAGTTTTGAGTTCTATTCTTTCACCATTGCTTTCAGATCGATCGAGTTGGCTGTCGCTTCTATTTTTGGTTTATTTCAAGCTGCTATTCACTGGGTTGATAAATTAAATGATTTTACAATATAAAACCCATTTAGCTTTGCTTTTCTGGGCAAACGAATCGATCAACGTGTACACGACAGTTCGCACGTTGAACAAAAACAAATGGGGAGAGGATTTTGATGGGAATAAGAGATTTTTCTACACATTTTTGGTAAAAATTAACAAGTTATATGGGATTCAAAAAAAACTTGGGAACATTTTCCGGACACCGACTCAGCACTAGAGTAACCCGGCTACTGTAATCTTTGCATATATCTTTGCTTTATTTATTTTATTGTTAGTTAACTGTAGTCCTGTTGAATTATGGTCATCCTGTAACATCTAGTCATTAAAATAGGAGAATTTCACGCTGATTCCGAATTTGCAATCCGTTTTTACCAAATGGTTTTCTATAAAATGTTATAGTTTTGATGTGAAAATGCGAAAATTTTGAGGGATACCTTTATAAGAGTTTTCTCACGAGTCGCAAACGTGACTTTATGGTATAGTGGATAAAACGCTTGCATACAAAACGACCACTGCATTTTCTTGCTCGAGTTCAATTCTTTTTTTGGCAAAACTTTTGTTTCGCGCGAAAATCCGTGAAATGCTCCGTTGAATGGCCCTATGGCTCATCTCATTTGATCACATCCTACTATTACCTTTCCCTTGTTAGCGCCGTAGATCTATTCTTTATATCTTTGTTTTCCTGCCTTAGCTACTGGATGATGTAGTCCTTCCGACTACGCAGCGTATGGTTACGGTAGGCTGGGGCTCATTTTAGAGCGGCTATCTAACGTTCAGATCAGTTATAACCGATAATTATCCAAATAATTTATTATTCTGTGTTTAGCCAAGAGTCGTCTTGCCATTCGTGACTCTCTCGACGATGATTGTGGTGATTTGTGCACGTGGATGGGGTCAAGTCAGTGATCAGTGCATGCAAATCAAACTCTTGGCGACTAAAGTAGCTTTTTGGAAAGTTTTAAGGTGGCAACAACATGGACTTGTTTCGGCACCTTTTCCGAAGATGCAACCGCAGTCTGGTTTCCAATCATGACCATTAATCTCCTCCTTGTACTCACAGCGTTCGCCTTCACTGAAGCTACGTGCAGAATTTCGAGGTATAAACATGTTGAACTGTTAAATTTTACTATAAACTCTAGATTCCGTCCACATTGTCAAATCCGTCTTCACAATTGGTTTGCAGTGAATAAACCTTTCGAGGATGGCGTGATTCGGAAGGTGAAAAGGGACTTTTAATTAGAATACGATTGACTACTAAAGTTAGTTAAGGTTGGGGCTTTTCGCACCTGGACTAGTTCTTAAAATAAACCAAAGTAAAGTACTAATAGGTGTAGTCATTTCAAAGACACTTTTATAGGAATCGATCAGGTAAGGCAAGGCTAGAACCAGCTAAAATTCAGTTTCGTTTTGTCAAAGTTTCGACTGATTCTACGTCTTAGATCGAAAACGAACCTTAGATCAACTAGAAGCCAATTACCTGGGCTTGTAAATTAGAACCAAAGTAGCCAGAAGCCCTGCCTAAATCTGGTTTCTAGCCTAATCAAACTTAAATTTGAAAAAATTGACTTTAAAGCAGTCAGAATCTGAATTGGCTTTTAGATTTTTGATCAACGCTTTAGTTTGTTTTTTGAATGGTATTTAGATCAACGCTTTAGTTTGTTTTATCATCTTATTATCTGCTAGCTAAAATCTGCTAGCTGTTGAAAATGAAAGCTTCCTATTAGAGTTGTAATTTAACCACAGCAATCAAAGCTAAATTCCAGGTTGAACGAAACATTCCTTTCCTTTTCCTCGGCCCTCCTTTTCTCTTTGCTGTATGGCTTTCACTGGCTCTCTCCTCCGATCAAAACACTTCTTTCTTTGAAAGGTTTTAAACTTATATTCAAATTTTTAAAATATTTAAAAAAAAACTTTTAGCACCTCTTTCTTGCTGACGATTTTATACACGATTGTCAACTTGACCCAAACTCTATTCACCACTGAGGTAGAGTTTGCGAGTTGTTATAGGCAAATATATTTAACAAACCGTAAATACTGTAATAGTACCCCACCCCCGTAATGACGGTGCGGAGTGTTGCGTAGTCTAGCTTTGAACGAGTTTTTTTCGACACTGGTTTGTGCTACAAGGCTCGCTTGGGTATTAAAAAATAGCCCTGAATTTCAGCTATTTTTTGATGCCAAAGACGCATTTCTTGAAAGTACGGGTGCTTTGCAAAAACAGAAATACTAAAAAACTTTTGCGACGACGCGACTGTACGAGGGCGATGGGGTACTATTACAGTATTTACGGAAGGTACTTTTAAATTCGTATTTACAGCTTTATGCAATCTATACAAAGTTGATGGTGATGTTCTTCCCGAAATGCTTGGCACCAAAGTGGGATTCGTTTGAGAAAAGAAGCCGCATGGAGGTAAAGAGAATTTTGGAATATTTTCATGTGTTTTCTTTTAGATTCTAGCAAGACACAAAATCTCCCGTTATCAAAAAGAAATGGATTTCGGAAAAGCAGAAATCGAGAAGAAAGAGGCAAAAGAAAGAGAGGAAATTGAGAAGAAAAATGGCGAGAATTTGAGCAAAGTGAGTTTTGTCTTGGTCTTGATCTTGACCCAAATGACCTACCCTTATTAGATTTCAAATTTAGTTCCCTCATTTGCCACCATTCCTCCTCTACAACATTCCCGAAGAAGGACCGGCTCAACATCGACCGAAGAAATATCCCGTTGATATCACCGATAAGAAGTGAGTGAACTTAATCTAAACTAAGACTTTATTGAGCATACTGCCATTTTTAATATTCAAGAGCTTGTAAAATCAGTTGTATATCTCCAATCGGGAAACTTTTCATAGACAAATGTAGCCAAGCTTAGTCTTTTAACATAGTTTTTTACGTTTTCCATGGTACATTCTAAACTTTTAACGAAAACATTTATCGATCCTTTTTGCCGTTGACAATTTAAGGTTTTTCTTAGCACCAACTCTTCGATTTTGACTATTTTGACTATCATTCGATGTAGAATAAAATTGCGCGTCGAATGATATCAAAATTAACTCAAGTTGTTATATCCATGCAAAATTATGAGGCAAAAGGTTAAGTCCCGCTCATAATAGGCGAGGTTTCGGTTTTTAGCCAAAAATTTGCGTGAATATTATATTTTGAGTTAATTTTGATATCATTGGACGCACAATTTTATCCTACATCGAATGATAGTCAAAATAGTCAAAATCAAACGGTTGGTGTTGTGGAAAACACGAAAAACCTTAAATTGTCAACATCAAAAAGAGGGCCGACAGATGTTTTCGTTACAAATTTTAGTACATTCAATTTTAGTTACATTTGCGAAAAGAAACGTCTTCATTGGAAGCGTCGATGGACTCGAGCCTATTTGCAAACCCGAGCCAACTACAAGGAGTCGCCAGAAAAGTGTGCTAATGTCAGTTATAAGTTATAATTTTATCTACAATTATTATCTAGAAAATCTTCAAGCGCGAGATGACAAACGGGCTGCTGAAACAGGAGAAAGTGATCGTCGATCAGGCAATTTTCGTTTGGAATGAGTGGTGAGTTGAAGTTTTATTTCAAAATTTAGATAAAGATATCAAAAACAAACTAATTAGTTTGTTTTTGATCTTGAAACATTGCATATATGATGTTTTAGGTACGAAATGGTGCCCTTGCAAGATCATTTCGTGATGACACCACATGAAGACAAGCTGATCATCGTGGGGGTTTGATTTTTGTTGAACTGAAATCGATTAATCGACATAAGGATAATATTTTATAGCTACTCGGCTCTCATAATCGTTGCTAACAAAAACCAATTCGTTACTTTGTATCTTAAACTATAAATATCAGGGTTTACGCCTTAAAATATCAGTTTGACCGGAAAGTCTTGTGGGTCTTTTGAAGTTTTTCTTTATAAATGAATAATTAGCTGATAATGTGGTTTGCTTTAAATAAAAAAAGATTAACTATTTTATTTAGCTCATTTTTAGGCTAATTTGGGTCCGCTTTAAAGCAAATCCGAACGGCAATTCTTGTTTTTCGTAAAAGCCCTACAATGAACATAGAATGCGAACGACTTGGTGAAATGTTATGAATGTCTATCTAAATTTCTCTATCTTGTCTAATCTTGTCTGTCTATCTTGTCTAAATTTGTCTGTCTACCTAACTTTTTATTCTCTAGGTTTCTGTGACAAAAGGTGCTCAAATCAGAACGTTGGGCTCCATCGTTTTTGACTGCTCGACTTCACACCTTTAAAAAAAATCAACTAACTTGAGCTTTTCAGAATTTCTTAAAGGGAAATTTGTAAATAAATAATAGATCTTTATGATAAAACAAACCATAGTTTCGATTGGTTCATTGTTCATTTCAAAAAATAACTTGTAAGAAAGGCGGACAAGACTTTCCGGTCAATCTGATATCAAGCAGCTTGTACGACTCACTATGTGGAAAAGAATTGGTATCAACTGGCAATGGATATCCTGGATATCTTTAGCTTCCTTTATAGTATGAAATTAAAAGATATTCAGATGTGTAAATACCCTTTAATCCGACATTTTGTAATGACAAATGATTTTTATAAGCGTATTTTTATTTAAGCGTGTGTATTTTTAGAAAGAGAAGGACATCGACCCGTTGACAGCCTTCGATCGAGCCGTTTCCCGTTTGATTTCCTTCGTGAATCCATGGGAAAGACAGAAAACACTTCGACTTTTGGATGATGATGAACCGGTAAATAAAATACAGTTAAAATTTTTAGATTAAAATCAAAATTCAAAGTTGTCTCAAAGATTTGTTTGGTATTTGGTTCGGTTTTTATTCTAAAAACTTTCAGAAACCATTCCTCAAAGCGCTCGACTTCTTGACTTTCCAACCAAGTTCTTACATCAAGTTTGTGCTACTTCTAGGCGGATTTAAATCTATTTTTTTAAAGAATTAAAGATAAATGTCTTCAGATGAATGTGTAAGATTTGAAGACGTTAAAACAAAAAATCTTTATGAAATTCAGAAGCGTAAAGTTCCCGGTTTACGACAATTTCGGTGATGTTCATTTCAAGGAATACCTCAAAGTGCCCGATGTTCTCACGCTTGATCAAGTAATGTTTTAAAAAAAGCTTAAAGTTATGTAATTTTTTTTGCCCAATTTTCCTATATTTAACGTATTTTTCTGTTCAGATCGAGAAAATGGACGAGATCTACGTAAAAGCGATGACTGAGCTGAATGCACCGTTTGACAAGGTGATTCTCGAACTTTCAAGTGTACATAGCATATTACTTTATTCAAGTGCAAAGAAAAATACAATCAATATTGTCTTTGAAGTTGTTGTTTTTTTTTCAGATCTACAAAGACGATTCCTTTTTGAAAACCTATGAAAACACGGAATGGAAAGAAGCAATAAAAAAGATTTTCGTGAGTTTGAGAAAAACTTTGAAATTCTGTGCTTAATAGATAGTTTTTTTAGTTAGATAGTTAGATAGATAGATAGTTAGATAGATAGGCTTAATAGATAGCTTTAAAACAATCTTATAAACATTCTATATTCTATTTAACACTATTTTATAGTCGATAAGCTTTTAATGTTTTTGTGAGTTGAAAAAATTAGAAAATAGAGCTAAACTTTAACTTTTCAGAAAACATCTCCAAAAAGTGCAAGAGATAAAAACGATGAATCGGAACAACAATGCCACTCATTGAATCCCCGTCTGAAACCTTTGGACGCATTTTGGCTTGATGAGAGAAGACCCGAGTAATTAGAATCAAATAAAACTTTGAAAATTTTACTGTAAGCTGTCTAGACTTATCGTAATGTACCAAGCCAAAAATCAAACACGTAATCATTCTCAAATTGATTACGGGGGTGTGAATGTCTCGAGAAAATTTTAGTTTCATCGGTCCACTTTCGAAGAAGACGATTCCTCTGGGACCATACAGTGAATACGCAAAAAAAGCACATTACTATCAGGTAATGCAAAAAGAGAAAAGAGTCATTCATCTTTTGAAGAGCAATCTTTTTATTAATGCGTACGTAAGTCTGACAAGAGAAAGGCACTGAATCAAACTGGCCTTTTGACTCGAGACCAAGTCCATCTTGTAGAGTCGGTCATGGGGATCTCAAATCCGTTTTTAGTTTTTGCAGAACGCTTTGCGAACTCGAAATATCGAAATTTCAGACTCCTTAAGAAGCCGTGCTTCTTAGTGAGACATTCTTAAAGGACACTATCCACTAGACAACTGACTTGTCTAGTGGATAGTCGGCTGAACCTACTAGATTTTTTTGCCCTCAAGTGCGAGTCTCACTCTCGTCAAACTTTTTTGCTTTTTTAAAAACTGTTTTCTTACGTATTTGCATTGAATAATAGTGTTGAATTTGATGCATCTGTAGCTTTCAGAAATCTGGCAATATATATTAAATTTGTCAATACTTTTCAATACTGATACTTTGGAAGGTCCTAGCTTTTATTACAGAAGTTGAAATTACAGATTACAAGTTACAATTGAAGTTACAAAAAGCGGTGTATAAAACTCGAGTCAATAATTCAATGCAAATACGTAAGGAAACAGTTTTTAAAAAAGCAAAAAAAACTTTGGCGAGAGTGGGACTCGAACTTGAGGACAAGAAATGTAATAGGTTCGGCAGTCTAGCAGACTATCCACTAAACCACCAAAGCAAAATGTCTAGGGAAGCGTGCGGCGGCCTCATAACGAGCTCAAAATTCAAGGTCATTTTCTATATACCAAATATCTCGCGTTTGCAAAGCGTTCTGCAAAAATTAAAAACTGATTCGAGATCCCCATGGCCGACTCCCCATGGCCGACTATAAAATGAAGTTGGTCTCGAGTCAGAAGACCAGTTTGACTCTGTGCTTTTCCCTTGTGAGTCGTAATGAGTGCATCTCGTTTTTAAAATGTTTTTGAATAATTTAAAAACCCTAATCACAAATCTTGAGAGAAATGAGTGTACTAGAAATGATGTTTAGAGCTGAACGAACCTACTTACTTTAGGAAAGTCACCTCAGACCCGACCTAGACCTGAACCTAGTCCTGAACCAGGTTTAGACACATGAAATTTAGCTTGGGTCAGGCCTGACTATGAGCTAGGCTCAATTCCGAGCTAGGCCAAGTCTAAAATAGCACACAAATGCACCAAACTGGGTCTGGGCTTGTCAAGCTTGTCCAGCGCCGGACTTTTGCAATCTCATTGAGATTTTTGTATGCCTGGTGCATTTCCGTGTCGACTATAAGTATGCATTGTATTGTTCGACTACAGTACTTTTCATTTAAAGTAACTCTTTTAGAAAATGATCGACACACAATGGCGTCAAATCGAGCACAACGCTTTCTATCAGGAAAGCCTTCGCAAATTGAAAAAAGGGAAACTTTGAAGGAAAGCTTTTTTTTGTGGCTACCAATATAAGTCCAGTATAAAGTATGCATTGTACAGGGTGCGGCAAAAGTTCGGAGCCGCTTCTTAAGATAGTTAAAGGTTTAAAAACTAGCTTTAAAAAGTTAAAAATTAATAACAAACTCTTTATTCGAATCATAACAACAAATAACTTATAACAAATGCTCGAAATTTCCACCATCCGCTTCGATACACCTCTTTAAACGCTTTGGGAAGTTCCTCACGATGGTGGCGCACGCTTAAACAGTTATTTCATCCCAGACTCGTTTCAGAGCAGATTTTAAAGCATCCACTGTTTGATACGTCTTCATCGAGATCTTGCCTTCCAAAATAGCCCAAACGGAGTAATCGAGGGGATTAAGATCTGGCGAATTTGAAGGCCAAATGGTCTTATCCCAAAAGCCTGAAAACAACTGAGCACAAACGTTGAGAGTTGAGTGAGCACCATGCGCCGGAGCCCAGTCCTGTTGCAGGGAAAAACCAGCTTGTCCAAAGTGATTTGTTGCCCAATGTTTCAAGACATCTTTTAATACCAGTTGTTGGCAGTTTTTAGCATTCATCTTGACTTTTCTGTCCAAAAAAACAGGGGGTGTCTTGCTTGTAGCACATATACCTCCACACATCATAATCGAAGCTGAAAAATGCTTTCTAACCATCAAATTTGCCGCAAATGTGTTCTTCAGACCCCTTTTGAGAAGTTATCTATGATTTTGGCGGTTGTGCAATGACTGGATAGAAAAAATCTTTTCATCTGTGAAGCGGATCCTCTCAAGTAGGCCAGTCGCCACCAAGCGCACCATCTTCTTTGCTAGACGCTTTCGTTTCTTCTGGGATTTGTCGTCCAAGACGTGTGCTTTGGCCAATTTGTAGCTAAAGAATCTTAGTTTCCCTTTAACAATCCTTCCAACGCTTCGAGGGCTAATTTTCAGCTGTTTGCCCATCTTTCGTATCGACCACAGCTTGTTTTGGCGAATCCGAAAGCGAATTTCGTTGATGTTCGTAGGTGTTACGGCAGTTGGTGGTCGACCACTTCGAGGGCGATCCTTGTTGTTCTTTATCTCCTTGTAGGGTTTAATTGCTTTGTTGACGGTGCTTTTTGGATATTTCGTGATTTTTACAAGCTCCGAGCTATTTTTTCCGCTTTTGTATAATCCGAGAATCACATCGCGTCGTTTTTTGGCGTTAATTCTTGCGAATTTCTCCTAAAAAGAAAATTTTTGTAACAAATCACCTTAACTATACTCGTAAAAAGGGAAAAAAGTATACGAGACACAAAAAAAAAGCGTGAGCTAAATTTTCTGCAATGTTTTCATAGCGGCTCCGAACTTTTGCCGCACCCTGTATTGTTCGACTACAGTACTTTTCATTTAAAGTAACTCTAAAGTTTCAATTTAAAGTAACTTTAAAGTACAATACGAAAAAAAACTTGTTAATATTTTGTATTTCATTTTGTTTTTCGAAATTCAATAGACATTTATTGAAAATACTTTGAATGATTGCTTTGAAATTCTTGTGTTTTCACTTGTCTAATTACGATTTTGCTGAAAAATCGCCTAATTTTGTTCCTCAAGGGAAAATGTGTTTGACGTTTCAAATTGCACAAATAATCATCACATGAATTTGAGAAATCAAAGGGAAATTTCATTTATAAGTTCTCTTTTTTTGTTTCGTGAAAACTCGAGGAAAGTGTCCCAATTTTTTGGGACACTTTCCACTGGGACTTTTCCACTGGGACTTTGTTTGGGACACTGTTTGGGACACTTTCCACTAGGGCTTTGTTTGGGACACTGTTTGGGACACTTTCCACTGGAACTTTGTTTGGGACACTTTCCAATTGTTTGATTGTTTGGAAATTGGTCAGTTTATTCATTTACTTGTCAATTTCATGAATATTATGTAAAAGTAAAGATTTTGAGAATGATTGCCATAGATTTCACTGAACACTTTCACACTTTCAAATTTCACGCACGCTTTTTCCAACCAAGCTTTACACTTTTTCAACCAAATCCTCTGACACTGAATGCAGAATTTCACAGAAAAAGCTTTTGTTTCGATTCTGGATTAAGACTAAGTAGAGAAAGGCATGAAAGTGACCTTTCAAAACAAAACCCAAACCATATTGTAGAGGATTTCACACGGAATCTGATACACTTTTTAGTTTTCCCCCTCGAGACTTATAAGGCAAGATCCTTAACAAAAACGCTTTGTCATGTCTATTTCAGGTGTTCACACACCGACCTGAATTTATTGAATCACTTAGTGCTGTAGTGGCCTGCTGTGCAAGAGGCTGTACATGTATACAAGCCTGCTGTACAAGAGGCTTGTATCTAGACCGAGCTGGCATCTTTTTGCTAGGGTTCAATTCCTTTTTTCTTAAATCTTTTGCTTTTTGTTTATTTAGGTATTCAAAAATTCCCTTAACTTTGTTTTGTTTTTATTTTCTATTATATATTTCATAAATCGTTGGGGGAACATTTAGTTGAATCAAAATTGTCTTATTTAGTCTCAATATTGCTGCAGAATTAATCATCATACTGAAAGCAATGAAAACTATCAGAAAATAACTTGATTTGAATAATTTTGTAGTGAATAGTGAATGTCTTTTTGCTGAATTTAATAATGTCTCAATGCTGCTCTTAGAACAAGTCGTACCTTTTACTGGCTCTTATCAGTAGCTTTTTATTTGATTTCTTTTGCTCCATACTATTGGGTTGGTGAATTGAAAACTGCGGGACTTTGAACTAAAATTTGTTCAACATAAAACCATGAATTCATTCGAAATAATTTCCATTATTATTGACGACTTCTGCCCATTTTACAGGCAATTTGCGGATTCCTCTTTCGTAGTTGGATTTTGGTTTGTGTGTGAGACAAGTGTGAGACTCAAAAATGGAGGACTGGAGATGTCCCAGTTTGAGCACTTTCTTCAAAAGAAACCCATTTTGGTGTCAATAGAAAAGTTGTAGAGAATCAAAAATTAGGCTTATAGCCAAATTTCCAAAAAGATACACTTAGTAGTTTCGCTTAAAATGCAAGCTTTGTGAAAATTCGTAAATTTGGCATTTCTTGAAAACCAGTTTTTGAATCGTTCTGAAAATTTGGATATAAACTTGATTTTTGATTCTCTACAACTTTTTCATTGACACCAAAACGGGTTTCTTTTGAAGAAAGTGCTCAAACTGTCACATATGACAATAGCCCGCAGTTTTCAATTCACTGACCCGATAGAATAGTGAACCTAGTATCGTCTCTAGAGCTTCACCTGATACGATACTATCGTTGTACTGGGTAATTGGTAATAGTAGTGTAATGTAAGGTTCAGTCTTGTACTTGATAATGACTCTAATATTGATCTATTCTTTTGTAGTCTTGGTAACCTGCACATTTCAGTTGACTTCTCTTGTTAATATCTTGTAAATTGAAACTGTAAATTCTCCATTTATTTCACTGAATACTTTAAAAGATTCTATTCAATTTCCATCGCAAAAATCTAGATTATATTGCATGAATGCAAGCTCTAATCCGATTGGAGTCGACCCATTTGAGATTTGGTCGTCAAGCTTGGCAATCTGCGCTCAAATCTCGACTTTTTACATCTTACTCAAGATGATTCATCATTTCGCGAAACATGGCTTTAAACACGCTTTCTTCAGACTCTATATTTGGTGCTCGATCAATGTAAGTATTTAGAACTTTTGAAGAGATAAACGCATCTTCTCTGGAGCACTAGCTTCGTCATTTTTCTCTCATTTCACAAGCCATTAAAACAACGTTTTCTTAAACTGTAAAAAAAGAATCAATATGCCGGAAAGCGTGCAAAAAAACTGAACAATCACAAACCGAACGAAAATCTCGTTTAGGACTTTCTCTGCTCAATCTTTTACCTCATCACTCTCCGTATGCCGAGCTGGGGCATTTGTACATTCTATTCCGATATCAAAACGGGCTTAATCCCAACTCTTCTCTATTATTTCACTGCTTATTTCCAAGCGGCACATTATTTAGGCACAATGCTGATTGCGCTGAATCGTGCGAGTGCCGCCATTTCACCGAGTGGCTTTGAGAAGGTGAGTGAGTCTCTAGCTGATCAAATTTTTTCTTTCTTTCATTCAGTTGTTCATTCATTCAGTTGTCAGTTCATTCTTTCATTCAGTTGATTCTTTGCAAGATTTCCCTTGAAAATATTGCTAAGCCCAAATGGGCCCAAATTAGTCAACTGATTCCGCTAGAGTACAGATTAGATTGGTGTAAAGAAGTTCTATGCTAAATACAATGAAAGACTCAGATTTCCTAGAAGAACCTAGAAGAAGCTCTTGTACTTGAAAACAAGTTTTGCAATAAGTAAGCGCATTTCAAAAAGTGATATGCATCATGAGGACAGTCTTTGCGTAACTATGAGCATTTGCCTGGTTTTCTAAAGTACTTTTTAGACTTAAAGTTTACAAATCCTTTGTTCTAGAGATTCTAGAGATAGTTATTCTAGAGATAGTTATTCCAGTTCTAGTTATTCCATTCTAGTTATCCCAGTTCTAGTTATTCCAGTTCTAGTTATTCCAGTTTAGTTATTCCAGTTCTAGTTATCCCAGTTCTAGTTATTCCAGTTCTAGCTATCACATTCTTGAAGTCCACATCAAATCAAAAATTTTGTTTATGAAAGAAGTTTCTAGATCTGGTCCGGTACCTATACTCCCTTCGTGCTCACTCTCACTTTCCTCCTCATCCCCCAAATCTATATCTCTTTCAAATTGGTCTTTAATGGGGCTCAATTCATCAATGTTGGCTCATTTTTCTTCATTGCCACCGATTTCTCGGATTGCGATAAAATGCTGATGTTATTTTACATGTCATTCTGTGCACTTATTGCTTTCATTGCAAATGTTTATACATCGTGGCGTCTTTTTCTTCATTATCAACAAGAAACGAAAACGAATCGACTCGATCTTCACTTTCAATTGTTTTCTGTGATGGCTTTTTGCTTTGAAATTGCTCAAGTTGTTGCTCAGGTGAGAGGGATTTGCGATGAAATTTTAAGAAGATTCAAAGATTGATTTAGATTCAGATTTAGGTTTAGAAAGATTTAGAATATTCGAAATTATTAAGAAATAAGTCTTCCGAAGCTGGTCAAATTTGCAAATTTTATCTGAACTCGAGTTTAAAGCTCGTTTCAGCCACCGTACCCTTTATTATCGATTATATAGTAATTCAGTTCATAGCTTAATAACATCAACCAACTAACGTCTAGATCTGTGGCTAGATCTGTGGCTAGACGTGGCTAGATCTGTGGCTAGATCTGTGGCTAGATCTGTGGCTAGATCTGTGGCTAGATCTGTGGCTAGATCTGTGGCTAGATCTGTGGCTAGATCTGTGGCTAGACGTGGCTAGATCTGTGGCTAGATCTGTGCGCTTTTGTTTGAATGAATAATAAAACTCTTGATTAGATCGGGATCAAATTTTAGCCTATAATCAATAAAACTTCAATTGTTATTAGGAAAAATTTTGAGAAAAGATTGTTATGGTTATGGTTTAGTTTTTTTTTTTCAAAAGTTTGTCCGAAGATACTGCCATTTTATGCTGCCAACTAAATATAAAACATTATGGGCTACTCTGTAACGTTTTAACTTCTAGTTACAATCAGATTTTCCCATAGATTTTCCCAAAATGAATCATTCATCTAGTTTTCTTGAAAATCTTTCTCAATTTTAGTTATTTGTTCAAAAGATTATCGTGATTCCTTTCGAAATCGTCTTTTACATTCTGGAGGCGATGCCGATTCTCTCCGATTTTTCATTGTTAGGTTTGTTTTTTTTTGTTGGCTTTTAGATTTTGAGAGTCACCTTAATAAGATGCGAATTTTAGCGCCAATCTGGTTCATGTTATTGGTGTCAAGCGAGGCAAGGAAAGCACTCACTTGGCGACGCGTCAAACCCCAAATCCCAGAATGGCCTCATCGAAGGGATTCCATCATTGAGAGTTGAAAAGATTTCTTCTGTACTTTCTGTGTACTTTCTGCTCGACAAAATGTAAACGCACCTTTCCTAGGGTATTGTATTCTTCGTCTTTCAAGAATTCTTCTCTTCTCCTTATCGAAGGGATTCCATCATTGAGAGTTGAAAAGATTTCTTGAAATTTTCTCCCCCTATCAGCTGATCTTTTAATCTTGAAACTTGAGCCAGTTGCGTAATTAAACCGGAAAGTGGAGGCTAGATCAATGCGCCAGATGACATGCGACTTGCACAACTTTTAAGTGTACTTTCTGCTACTTTCTGCTCGACAAAATGTAAACGCACCTTTCCTAGGGCATTGAATTCTTCGTCTTTCAAGAATTCTTCTCTTCTCCTTTTCTTCTCTCAACAATTTCTTCTCTAAAGAATAGAAAAAAAAAAGTGTACCAGAAAGGATGTGTTTGCATTTTTGAGTGCAAATTCATACATGTGCCTTATTGAAATGTTTTTGTTGAAGTGTTTACTGAATAAATCACAAAAGAATTGAGAAAATGACACGTCTAATAGAAAATAATTTGAGCAAAATACGGCTGAGATTTTGATTAAGCAAATTTGGGGGTTAGTCAAAACAGCGCCATAGTAGAAAACGTTCAAAACAGCGCCGTCAAATTTCTCACACTCCAAGAAACCAAGCCGGTTCAAGTTTTATATCAAAAAATTCCTTATGTTCTTAGTCGTCGAGTGATACTCAGTTGGTTAACTGAATATCTTTAGAGACCCATTTTGAGTGCTCTTTTTATCTATGAAATATTAAATTTTTTTAAAAAACTGTTTCACCCATCATGTAGCCAAGAACGCAAGGAATTTTTTGATATAAAACTTGAAGTGGCTTGGTTTTTTGGATTGTGAGAAATTTGACGGCGCTGTTTTGAACGTTTTCTATTACGGCGCTGTTTTGAATGTTTTCTATTATGGTGCTGTTTTGACTACCCCCCGCAAATTTGTAAACTCAATCACTTTTCGCTTTTGTTTTCTTGAAACAAAATGCGAAACATTTGCGAATGATGAGGAAAGAAATGAGAAGAATTGAAAGAAAGATTAGAAAGAAAACGGCAAGAACGTCTAAATTGAAATATTGAATGAAATTGAGCTGACGACCATAAGGATCGAGTTGGGGAAGCGAGCCGAATCTGGAATTGCATTCAGCTTTTACAAGTTCGTAGATTCAACTTTGAAACCCTTACAATCAGTTCTTTAGAATGTTTAAAGCTAATACAATAATCTCTAATCATATTAATATTTCTTATCTTTAAATTTCATTGTTCAAATTCATTAGCTTCAGACCCAGCTCCTGGGTTTTACTAGATTTCCTGGCATTAGCCATTTCCTTGTAAAGATTCTAGAGCTCCTGGGTTTTACTAGATTTCCTGGCATTTCCTCGTAAAGCCGATAAAGATTCTCGCCATATCCAGAACAAATCCAAAGGCCAATTATACATTTATTGAAACTTTTTATCTTACCGTAAATACTGTAATTGAACCCCAGCCCTCTAATAGTACCCCGCCCTAGAGGGGGAGGGAAAAAATAATACCCCATGGGGTCCAATTACAGTATTTACGGTATATCTTTTTAAAAGATCTTATTGCACACAAGAAAACGTTTTTATACGTTTTTAAACGTTTTTAACGCAAAAAAGCGAAAAGCTGGGCGGCAAGAGGAATCGAACCCGCGAGCAAAATTCCCATCAGCTTTGGAGTCCCACACACTAACCCCTAGGCTACCGCTGCTTCCACAACCCTCCGACCTGACGCCCTGTTATAAGTGTGGTCGCGGTCGAAAAATTGCTGAAACTTTAGACATGTTTTACTTGAAAACCAGGGCTTATAGGGAAAAAAAATTAAAAATACGTGTTTCTTAGAATTCTATCGGAGCGTTTTGTTGGTTTGGTTTGGTTTGTTTTCGAAAATCGGTGGTAAGTTGAAAGAGTTCTCTAGTAAGGCCAGAGCAAGCCAATCCAGAGCTAATCCAGATCAAGCCTGATCCAGGCTCAGCCAAGGGTCAAGCCAAGCTCTGGTCTAAAACCCTAATCCAGGTATCAACCATGAACAGCTCAAAGGCTTTGGCCAACTTAGGTTCAAGTCTTAGATTAGATTAGATTCCCCTTGAGTCCCAGCCATTTCCAGGCTAGTCCAAGCCATGCCTAGCTAGCCTAGCATGACTAGCCAACATTGACAAACTCACTTGGCAACAAACTCCACATTTCTCAGCAATAGCTCTTTTGGCTTGAAGGGGACACTTTGAAGTAGATTCGATAAAGTGATTGCATTTGATTTGTAACTAAAAAGAAATTGATTATTGAATTGTGACAATTTAAAACCTCGATTCATCAAGCATTTCCTTTATTGCTTGAGCCAATTTCTTTCCATCTTTGATTTCAAATTTCGAGTACTTTTGAGCGATTTTCTGTCTCATCAACACTTGCGCGTTTCTCGATTGATCGGCGAAAAGGGGAATGACGAGGGAAGGAGTGCCACTGAAAGGGATTCATGGATAGCTTAAGGATAGCTCAAATCATAATCTCTGAAGATTATGATTTCAAATTTACCTGTAAGCAATTTCGATTGTACTGCAAAGTCCTCCATGAGTGACGAAGAGACTGAGGCGTTGATCAGCTGAATTTAGGCGTCTACTCTGTTTGTCAGTAAAGGATTTATAAACCAGCTTAGTCACACAGCCTTTCCCCTTTACAGATTCCAAAACGGAAGCCTTCTATACCAAAAGGGTATGCCAGATGGAGAGCGCGCGCACAAAGAACACCGCGCCAGTCATTACATTTTTCTTTTGATTTGTAAATGGCTTCAAAAGAAGATATTGAGGTGTAAATTTGTACCCGGGGGGTTTTAGGGTCGGGGAATCGATTGGAGCTATTCATTTTATTGAAACTTGGGCTTAATTAGTCTTGGAGTGCGATCCGACTTGAGAGTTTGACTCTTGATTTTCTTTTGATTCCCAATCCAATCAAGTTCAATTTTAATATTGTTTAAAAACCTGAAATGCACTCTATATCAAAAACTAACAATAATATTATCTCTTCAATCAACTCTCTCACCTAACAACGCGGTCTGCGGCGTCCACTTGCTGAGGTGCAAGTTTTCAGGGAGATTCTCGCTGGCAAGGTCGTCGATTTCATACTTCCAAATGAATTGAACATCTGCAAAAAAAAGTTTTTAATTACAGTTTATTCAATTTTTCAATAGAAATTTAGATTGTTTCAATCGAAATTCTCTTGAAATCTTTGCAATCAAATTTTGAACTTTAAAGAATTCCCATTTTAAAAATTAGCAATTAAAATTAGAATAAGAATTAGCATTAGAGTTTCCAAATTTATAACTTAAATATTTACAAGTGTTTCTTCTATGATTCTTCTATGATTAAAGTAATTCTTTAGGTTTTTAGTTCAAAATTTGGTCACAAGGAGTCACTATTGAGTTTTGAAGATTTAAAGGTCTATAGAATTACGAATTTTAAGTTCCTAAGTAAAGTGCCGATGGTAAAGTGTTGAAAATAAGTAAATTCTACCAAAAAAAAGTTTATGAGGAACGATTAACGAAACTAGGCACTGCCGGTAATTCTTGGAGACTCTGCTCACTCACCCGGCATACTCCTCACCGCTGCAATCACTCCTTGTTTGTAATCGGCAGGCATATGTGAGGATTTGGCCACCGAACCGAACGACAACAATACGGTTTTCTTCTTTTTCCCAAAATTGTGTCCCATTCCTGAGCTTGAACTCTGATTCAAGCTTTAATAAGATTCAAAATGATTTGTTTCTATTTTCAAAGAAGATTTTGAACTTATTCTTCTTTATTCTTTATTCTACAGAACTTATTCTTTCATACCTTATCCAAAGCGGCAACTTTTTTCTCTCTAATGTGAATCCCTCCAATATCAACCACTTTATAGAGAGTTGGCTTGGGGAAATCGATGAATGGCTGAGTGTTTGTGAAGAGAAGCGCTGAACGTGCCATGATCTCCTGAAAATGGAAATCATTTCAAAAACTCAACGTCTACTCACTCTAAGAGTCGGGAAATCTTTGCCCAAATGTTTCTTGAAAATTTCAGATTGACTGTCACAAATTTGCAAGAAGAAATTCGCGCCAAAATGCGAGGAAATCGCATTGCTTAAACGCTCCGAGATTGACATTTTCTCGGACGTGTCCGACATACTACCTAAAGATTTTTAGGCCTTTAAATCCGATTTTGAAAGATCATAGATCATCGATAAGATTTAAAACCTAGTTACGCTTACAATTCTCTACCTGGCACATAGCTGGGCACTCTTGGTACACCGAAAATAATCGATTGATGATCCATAATGTTTGAGCTAGACGTTGTGACGACTGTTTTCAAGCCGATTGCTTCAAAGATTCCTGAAAGGACAGGAATGAAGATGAAGATGAAGGACAGAAATGAAAAAATGCTTGCACACTTCACTCACCATGTCCACAATCGTCAAACGCTTCCGAGATTCCCAAATCGAAATGGCGATCTTTCAACTTTGACATGAGGTCCGTCTCGAAAACGAGATTCTCGCAAGCTCTTGAGAACATCAATGTCATGTTGTGAGCCATCTGTAAACTTAATAATAACTCAAGCTCAATAAAAGTTCATTTACTTCGAACTACTTACCGTTGAAAGTTTTGCTGGACTCATATCTTGATCCCAAAGCATTGCCATGAAACCCTTGTCGGTTTTGGTGGACGCCTTAAATTGAAATCTTCATTTTATCTTCATTTTTATAGAACAAACCATCAATTCAGCAACTTTTTCATCCATTGGATATTCAAAAATCTCTTTAGTTTTCGAGATTCCTTCCCAGCGGAGATCCCATTCAAGTGTTGAGCGGATTTCTGTCTAAAAGGAGAACTTGCTTGTTTCAAATGGCTCAAATCAGATCATATCGATCTCTTATAGAATTCTTTACATTCTCTAGTTTAGAGTAAGATATTTCTAAAAGCGGGAAATTATTTAAAAGAAAACTTTGGGTGTTAAACTCTTGGATTATTGTAATATCTAGGTGGTACACTTAATGAACAGAGCGTAAGAAATCGTGACTCACAATTTCATGCCCAGCCTCAATCAGAATATCAGCAATCCCTCCCATAAATCGCATATGACTGTGGCCGAAACCCGGGTTGAACATCAGAATTTTTATTGAGAAAGCATAATGGAGAAAGGCTAGCAATAAGAATATTCTCATTCTGAAATTAAACTTTATACAAAAATTGAAAGATGAAGATGAAAGCTGAGCTGTTAAGGTTTGATCTTGTATATTACGCCCGATTTAGAACTAACGTCTAGTCCGGAAACGGACGTGCGATTTAGAACCGTTCTAGACCGGACGTCAGTTCCCAAAGCGGACGTCCGATTTAGAACTAACGTCTAGTTCGGAACCGGATGTGCGATTTAGAACCGTTCTAAACCCAGACGTCAGTTCCCGAAGCGGACGTCCGATTTAGAACTAAAGCAATTTATAATTGCCATTTATATTAATGAATTGAAATTAGATTTACTTAGGCTATGGCTCCGCACACCTCACCTGAGGCACAGGCTATAGCCCGATTCTCCCAGCTCCGGCCTTCTTTAACACTCGGAAACCTGACCGGGCACGGAATAAAAGAATAAAGAAAGTGCTAAAGAAGGCCGGAGCTGGGAGAATCGGGCTATAGCCTGTGCTCGGTCAGGTCTCCGAGTGTAGCCATAGCCTAGTAAATAGGATGAAAAGTCACAGTAAATCCTTTGACACTAAAAAGTCACAGTAAATTCAGTGAAATGCAGAAATTTAACTTTAGATCGATCATCGGATTTAACCTTGTCAAATCCGTAAGAAGCTGATCCAAAAAAGAAATTTGAACCTTATTGCTTTAATTCTAAATCGGACGTCCAATTCGGAACTGACGTTAGTTCTAAATCGGATGTCCAAATCCGAACTAAACTCAATTTTAGTTCTAAATCGGACGTAAATTGAATAAAAAGTTGAATAAAAAGTTGAATAAACAAGGTTGTAACACCAATCATCGAATGTGATAACGTTTCTCATTTCCTTTTGCATATAAACCCTATAGAGTTCAAGATCTTTGAACAAATGATATGATGAAAATGGTGGAAAAAGGGTAATTGGACACAAGTCACAGAAATCTCTTTGTCGTTTTTGTTTTGAGCGAAAGATATGAGTGATCAGTGATCAAAATGAAATGAAGAAATGAAGAGAAGAGCGAATGTATCAAATGATAAAGAAAAAATGTACTCTTGGAGTTTTAGCTTTATAGCTAGATTGTAGAGGACCTTAACAAACTGTTATTTCTAGACTTTAATCATCTAAAGTTTCTTGTCCTCTTGAAATTGATTTCTTTTTTACTTTTTTACTATTCGTGTATCTTAATAATATCTTAATAATGTGATCTTTGCATTCAACTCAACTAATCTTAACGATTGGATTTCTCTTTGCAGCTTTCCACTACCAATTTTCTGTAACTTTTGCGATTAGATTTCATTGAATAAAGCCCAGACAAGCAAATAAAAGTTATCAATGACCATTCTAACCTTTAACCAAGTAATTTAGTAAATCTAACTGATGATTGACCTGCTCGGACTGTCACTATCGGCCGACAAAGAGAGTTCCCTCTCATCGAGAAGCTCTTCTCGAGCCGCGAGAAACTCGTCGAATGTTCGAATGTTTGAGAGAAAGATATGAGTGACCAGTGATCAAAATGAAATGAAGAAATGAAGAGAAGAGCGAATGTATCAAATGATAAAGAAAAAATGTACTCTTGGAGTTATAGCTTTATAGCTAGATTGTAGAGGAACAAACTGTTATTGCTGGACTTTAATCATCTAAAGTTTCTTGTCCTCTTGAGTCCTCTTGAGTCTAAAGTTTCTTGTCCTTCTTGTCTTCTTGTCCTATTGATTTTTTTACTTTTTTACTATTCGTGTATCTTACTAACAGTTAGTTTGAGAATGATGAAATTCTGATTTCTCATTTCCTTGGCTTTTTTTTCTTTTTGAGCATACTTTGATTAGGCTTAAGAAGGCATCAGAGGCTTAATTCAGGCTCGAATCAGTTGAAGATTGGAAAAAGTATTAAACCCAAAGCTTCTAGCATTAATTCTCTGACGAAAAATAAGAAAACAAAAGCTAAATCAATTCTCTAAACAAAAAAAAACACAAAAAACCCAAAATCAATAAGTCAGTTGAGTTTTAATCCAAATAATGATTGTGTTTTGGTCTTTATTAAAACTTGAAAGAATTTAGCTAGTGATTTTGTGAATTTGAGTCTAAAGATCACCTTTTTCATTCTAGTTTTAAACGATTTTAAGTGATTTTAAGTGATTTTAAACGATTTTAAACGTTTTTAAACGATTTTAAACGATTTTAAACCATTTTAAACCATTTTAAACCATTTTAAACAATTTTAAACCATTTTAAACGATTTTAAACGATTTTAAACGATTTTAAACGATTTTAAACGATTTTAAACGATTTTAAACGATTTTAAACAATTTTAAACCATTTTAAACAATTTTAAACAATTTTAAACGATTTTAAACGATTTTATACAATTTTAAACGATTTTAAACGATTTTAAACGATTTTAAACGATTCAAAGGTTAAAATGCAGGCCAATCATCCTTTTCAGAGCAAAATAACCATTGAATTGTCCGAAAAAGATTGTCAAGTTTCTTATTTTAAGCAGTGATTTATTTGAATCAATACTTACAATTCGTTAATAAACATGATTATTCAATGAAAAGTTCAGCAAACAAATCAGAAACGTTGATCAAAACGAGTCTAAACAAGGCAAAAATATTTATTCGTGATCCATTTTTAGGCAGTCTGTTCTGTCTTCTTTTTTCCCTAGTTCTTATCAAATTTTGTTCTCAAATAATTCTCAAATTACTGAGAAAAAAAATGAATTTTCTATCGATAAGCAGAAAAAAAAGTATGAAAGATTAAAATTTTAAAGAGATTTTTGGGGAAAAAAGATTCCAAAACGATTTAAAGATTCCAAAACGGAAGCCTTCTATACCAAAATGGTATGCCAGATGGAGAGCGATCATGTGCGCGCACAAGGAACACCGCGCCAGTCATTACATTTTTCTTTTGATTTGTTAATGGCTTCAAAAGAAGGTATTGAGGTGTAAAGAAGAAGAATAAAGAAGATATTGAGGTATTGAGGAAGAAGGTACCTCAATACCTTCTCAATAAAGAAGGTATTGAGGTGCAAATTTGTACCTGGGGGGTTTTAGGGTCGGGGAATCGATTGGAGCTATTCATTTTTAAAGAGATTAAAATTTTAAAGAGATTTTTGGGGAAAAAGTTTAGAATTTATAGAAGGGCACAAGAGCTAGAAATGCTAAAATTGAAAAATTGAATCTTTTTGTCAGTGTCAGTGTCATTTAAACATTCATTTTTAGTTCTTAATATAGTATTTATTTGAAATCCCTTTCCTTTTTAGTTATTTATTTGAGTGAAACCATTTCTCGATACATTTCTGTAAATAATCAGCGATCGAGTCGACTTTCTCGTTGAATTCTTTCTCGCGAGCGGGCTTTTCTGTTTCTAAACTTGATTTCTGTAGCAATTTTTGCAAAATAACTATTATAAATTGTTGTTTTTGATTGTTGAATAAGATTTTAACTTATTTTAATCAGAAATATTTTCACAATTGATTTGGTTTTGGTTCTGCGGTCGAGATGGAGACTCGAAATCTACAACTCCTACTCCTACCGTCAAATCATCAAAAAAAACTATGCTAAAGTACCGTAATCGTGAAGCCCTTGTATCATTAACTATATAGAAATAAAACCCGTCATACAGATGGCATGGCCGACTGGCTAAGAGCTTTGTATCTTAGTCGAAAGGTCAAGGGTCAAGTCCAACGCCGCCGGCTAGATTATCGGTTCTTTTTCCCATCTACCGTATTTTCCCTAATAGTAGTGCACCCTAAGCTTCGCCTAAAGATAATAAACACCGTTTTAACAGACATACTTAAGATTTATCTCCAAAAAAACCAGAACGATTGAATGAATTTTGGCCAATCTAGGTCCTCCGAAGTGTGGGATTATACCGTATTTTCTCTAATAATAGTGCACCCTGAGCTTCGCCTAAATTCCTCGAAATCTCGAAAACCGCTTATCAGAACCTATTGATGTGGGGACGGAAAATGTAGCTGACGATGAGATCTTGTGGGGGATTTGAGTGTTGAGCTTCTGCAAAAGCTTGGGAACTGTAAAATAATCATCTGGCTCGGCCGGGCGGAGGAGGAAAGGGCACTAGAATTAGAGAAAACACAGAATACCGTATTCTCTCTAATAGTAGTGCACCCCGAGCCTAAATTCCTCGAAATCTCGAAAACCGCTTATCAGAACCTATTGATGTGGGGACGGAAAATGTAGCTGACGATGAGATCTTGTGGGGGATTTGAGTGTTGAGCTTCTGGGAAAAATTGGAAACCGTAAAATAGGCATCAACTCGCACTACTATTAGAGAAAATACGGTAACTATAAAATTCAAATTAATAACTCAAACTGCCAAGGTTTTATTTTATTTTTCTAACCGCTTATCTTAAGCCTACATATCTTGTGGGGGATTTGAGTGTTGAGCTTCTGTGAAAACGTTGAAAACCGTTAAATAGTTATCAACTCGGCTCGGTGGGGTGCACTACTATTAGAGAGAAGACGATATTTCTTTTTTTTTCTTCCCTACATTTAAGCCTTCCTTATCCAACATTATTCGTGTGAATAAATATAGATTTTATACAGGAAAATAAGAATTGCACGATTACAAAAGCTGAAGGCAATTGTCCAAATTGCAAATTGGCAATTGCCTATGCGATTGCCCAAATCGGCGTTGGGAAAAAGTTTAAACGTGTTAAATCAATTGAATTTTTAGATAGTTTTTCTATGGCATTACAGTAAAAAGAACAACTTTTACACGGTAAACTCTTGAAATCTGATTCGTTACCCTTTTTTTTACTTACCTTCAGCTGTTCTTGTCACCAATGGCCCAAACGAGATGAGAATTGAGATTAAAGAGGTGGTGACAAGGCAAAACATTTGCTCGAAACATGAGATAAACTAAAAGAGATATGGAAAATTTAATTAGTATTGAAATTCAAATCAGAATCCTCAACCAGTTCAGAAACCTACATCTTCCAAGTCTTGCCACGGATTTTTGATCTCTTCAGGAAGATTTGAGGTGAATTCTTTAAAATAGAATTCCAAGTAGTGATTTATACTGAAATGCTGTTAAGAAAATGTGAAATTCAATGTAAATTTGAGTGTAAATTGAAAAAATCGATCAAATGACAAACTTGTCTTTGAGTTCATTTGGCGACAAAGCGATGCCAAGAAAGCGAGCGAGATCGGCGAGTGGATTGCCGAAATGCGTGGCCTAAAGTGGCAAATGATTTAGAATTTTGTGATCAGTCACCTTTAAAGTCTATAAAAAGAACCTAGAGAAAAGGAACCAAATTTGTAGAGAAAAGGAACCAATTCTGCATATAAGGGGACCAAAGTTGTAGGGGAAAGGAACCAAATTTGTACCGAAAAGGTACCAAACTTGTAGAGAAAAGATTACCTAATTATTTAAAGATTGAAAACCCTCTTCAATCACTTCATTCTTTTCCTCACTTACTTGCCAATCATGAATTGCGACCAATCCCAAATTCCCACTCGAATCCCTCCGCCAGAAAACGTTTTGTTGAGTCAAATCGCCGTGTGTCAACGCTTTCTTGTTGTAAGCTGGAGAATTAGGGTTTAAATTAATGACACTGCTGATTACACTGCTAATTACACTTACCCAAAGCTGCTCTCAGCCTTTGCACTTTCTCCGGCTCATCATAGATTTTCGAAAAGTTTTTGAAGATTTCGATTTGATCTTTTCGCTCTGGGCAACGCTCCAAATATTTATCAAGGCGTTCAGCGTTGTTCTAAAATGATTTCTAGACTTTTTTTTCTTGTCATTTTATATATATTTTATATTTACCTTGCTGTTGATGAATTTCCCATCCATTGATTCTCGGATGTTCAACGGGAAAACGTCTTCGAGCTGCTTTTGATCAAAAGCTAAAGGTTATCAATATTGACAAAGATTCAATCTTGTTTCAGGGCAAAATGGTCAATTTCAAAATTACCAGATTGGACCAAAAGCCAACCAAAAGCCAACCAAAAGCTAAAATTCTAAGTCGTATTTGAATAAACCTGGTATCCTGCCAAAAATCCAGAATTTCAATATGGCTACAGTACCCAAGTATTTTTTACGGCAGTAATCTTAAAGCCAGACCTATCTATTGTATAGCTATCGTAACCTACTTAATGTTACAGTACCCGATTAGCTACCGTATTTGAATGTAGTCATGAAGATCTGACTCGGGTTACGGTTTGTTTCAATATGAAAGAATCTTATTCAAATCTATCTCTTACTCTTTGCATTCATCAGAGCAATGTATTTGAGAACTTGAAGAACGGAGAATTCATCGAGTGAATTGTACTGATAGCGAGCCTCGATCCCTTCCACCCAATCAAGAGCTATGTAGCCTAGAATCAAGTACATTTATTCAATATGAATATGACATAAACAAATACACAAGCCCTACTGCCCTAACTGTACCAAATACCAAGCTTGCAGAGAAAGAGCTAAAGTTTTGTAGCCACTGGGATCGAACCCATGACCCGAGACTAGTCCAGAGACTAGGATACAAGGCTTCTAACCACTCGGCCATGATGGCACCATGGCTAAGGAATGCTCAAATTGCAACCTGACGTTTGATAGAATTCATTTATTTAGTAAATTGAGAGTAATTGTCAGAGTAACTTTAAAGTTTTCTATTGGGTTGTCCAGTTATGAATGCGCGTTTTTTACTATCTTGTAAATTTCTCAAGATACCGAAATCAAGAAAAAGATCTATATGAGTATTATTCGAAAGCTGAAGATCTCCTCTACATTTTGATATAAAAAGTTTTTGAATTTGTTCAGCTTTTGGGCAAATTGATTGCACAGAAGAAGAGGTGGCCAAAAAATGGAAGGGTGCCTTTGGATCAAGTTTTGGCTCCGCTCAAATTGAGTTAACCGTTTGATGTTTGGCCAATAGATATATCAATACAACTTTTTTTTAAATATAACAATTTCAGAGCATCTTTACTTTTCTTTTCTTTTCTGGGCGATTATTTTACACCATAAAACTTGAGGAATAGCTAAGCTGGAATGGGTTTTTTTTTTTGGAAAACGACCTCTCCCTTTGTGCAGTCAATTTCCCAAAAAGTTGAATGAATTCAAAAACATTTTTATTCCAAAATGTAGAGGAGATCTTCAGCTTTCGATTGATATATAACACTCATATAAATCTGTTCGATATCCTGAGAAATTTACAAAATAGTAAAAACGCGCATTCAGAACTGGACAACCAAATAATTTTCGAACAACTGAACAATCTGGATTTCGTGTATAAAGCTCTAAACACTTTATAGAAGTTTATTTTTTTAAACCTGGAGTCGCATCATCATCACTCCCAGCCTCTTTAATGTGTCCACAGAAGAATTTTGGCAACGGGAAATCCTCTGGCAATTGAAGTTTTGTATAAGCGTTTTGATAAAATAACAACTCATTGTTGTTTATCTAAAAAGCTAAATAGATCTTTTTTTTTTTCTAAAGCAAACCAATCGACAAATCTCTGCTGGATTAAAGTCATTGCTTTTGTTGCCGAAACTGGCTAAAGTCTGGAAAGGATTCGATAGTTTTTACAATAAAGTTTTTATAATAAAATTTGTACTTTCAATTCTTGTCCAGTTGTCACTTTGAGCACGAATTTTTTGGGTAAAGCATCAGCATTTTCACCGTTCCAATCGACTTTCGTGAAAACGATTTTCGAGGCAAAACCCTAAAGCTCTCGATCTTAAATGCTCTCGATTTCTAAAGCTCTTAAATGAACTAGATGAGGAATGTTGCTCTCGATCTTTGGACTAAAGTATGTTCCTAGCGAGTAAGTAATTAGTAATTACTTGAGTAAAATTGTATGAGTAACTTTTGATTACTCATTGATTCTATGAGCAATTGACGTTTGTTTTTGTCAAGTAACTACGAGTAAAGAGAATATCTTTATATTTGAAGCGAATTCGCCAAATCCAAATCAGTTAAACGGGTTGAATTTCTTCAAAAGAAGCCGTCAATAAGTTGAAGATCGTGACTTTTTCGCGTCAATTTTTGCAAAAGTTACGGTACTTTTTTTCCAAGTGTGCTTTTTAAAGAATCCATTACTCGCGCGCGGCACACTCTACACACTCTTGAAGCCGTTATCAAGAATAAAGGTGCCCATATTGAATAATTTGCTATTTTTTAAATGAATATGATTACTGTTGTTAATTTTAAATAAAGTTTACATGAATCCGTTCATATTTCATTACGATACACGGTTCTGAGTCTGTAACCATACTTATGCCGCACCCTGTACTTACGGCTCATTTTTTATGAGTTAAGAAAATGAGTATCTTGAGTTAGAAAACTGATGACTCACTCCGCCATTCAGCATCACCGTCGCCTCTCTTTCTTCCCCAAAAAAGCACTCGGTTTTCAGAGTTTTTTGCAAATCTTTTTCAAGAATTGCCCATTTTAGAGTTGTCCCATTGATAAATGACGGATCTTCGTCTATCATTTTCACGCTCAAACTATAAACAAATCATAAATCAAAACAAAATAAAACAATTACGTGTACTTCTAGGAATTTTGCACAATTTTCAAGAGGCTTTGAAATTCTGGATGCGACTTAGGGTGGAAAAGAATTTTATAGCAAAAAAAATATAGGGCAGATTTGATATGGCAATAAGATCTAGTTCGTTTACAGATACTTTCAATTTTCCTACAGACGAGAAGATACCGGACGGGAGCTTATTCCAAGTCCAAGACGAGAGCTTATTCCAAACCCTACTATTACGGTTCGCAAAAGAATGATAAAGGGAAAGATGATGGGGATGAGAATCGACCGAAATTTGATAAGGATTTGATAATTTGACTACGTGTACTTCTAGGAATTTCCACAATTTTCAATTCTTTGAAATTCTGGATGCGACTTAGGGTGGAAAAGAATTTTAAAGCAGAAAATAAGCTCAAAGTAAATACGGCGATATAAAAGGGGTTTTAAATCAAAATCAAATCAAAGATATCATTTTGTTTTTATTGGAGAACAGAGAACAAGACGTGTCAAGAAGAAAAGCTGGCTTCATTTAAGTCTGGCAATCCTGGCTTCATTTGAGTTTTTGCATTTTTTTTGATTTCATGGAGGTTCAGACAAGGATTTGAAACAATGCTAGCACGGTTTTTCTAAACTAATTTTTCTTCCAAGATCAAGTCTGGTCTGCAATAAATGTACCTGACCTCTGAACTCTGAATTTGCTTGGCCTAGCTCATAAACCAATCACAAGAAGTGAACAGAAGAAGTAAAGTTAGAGTTTAAAGTAAGTATTAAGTTGGCCGGAAAGTTCTTTCCGTTTAAAACAATTACGTGTACTTCTAGGATTTTCCACAATTTTCAAGAGGCTTTGAAATTCTGGATGCGATTTAGGGTGGAAAAGAATTTTAAAGCAAAAAAATAAGCTCAAAGTAAATACGGCGATATAAAAGGGTTTTTAAATCAAAATCAAATCAAAGATATCATTTTGCTTTTATTGGAGAACCGAGAACAAGACGTGTCAAGAAAAAAAAGCTGGCTTCATTTAATCCATTGATAAATGATGGATCTTCGTCCAATCATTTTCACCTTCAAAATATAAACAAATCATAATTTAAAATATAAAACAATTACAAATCATAAGAAAACTTTTAAATAATCACTCTAAAAAGTTATATAATTCACATAAAAATCAAGTAAAAACATTAAAAAATGATCGTTTTTTTGTAAAAACCTAAATGAACAGCTATAGAGTAAAAAAAAAAATTATTAAAAAACAAAAAATTTTAAAAAAAAAAAAAAATAAAAAAAAAAAAAAAAAAAATAAAAAAAATTTAATATTCCCTTACCCCATCCCAAAACCTAAAAAAAAAAAAAAAAAAAAAAAAAAAAAAAAAAAAAAAAAAAATTTTTTATATTATATTCAACTTTCAATAAAAACCACCCCATTAGAAAAGAAAATAGCTGCTTTTAAAATAAACATTTTTTTGGGTTATTTAAAAATAGAATTAAAGTTATTAGTTATTAGTAATATTTGAAACAAAAAAATCAAGAACTAGCCTTGATTTCAATTCAAAAAAAACCCCGAAAGAAAGCTGATAAGCTAGACAGAAATTGAGCTCTCTTCTCGTTTCTCTCTCCGTTTTCTTCTTTTATTTACTTTTTTTTCCCTTTCTCATTCCAATTGCACAACATTGCCTCAAAATCGAATTTCGTCTCTCACAGGCTAAAGTGGAAATGAATGAAAGATTGGGAAGAATTATGCGAATAAAATAAGAATAGAATGTAGTTGAAGAAAAGATTGTTTGAAGGAAATGATTGATGAAATAAAAAAAAAGATAAGAATATATAAATACTTTATTTAGAAGGAAATAAAGTGCGAAAACGACATGAAAAATGTAGCAGATAAAAGATGACAAAGTCACTTAAAATGCAACGAAATAAAATGAGAAATCAGACACGGTGGAGTGTCAGAATCCCTTTTAAAATCAGACACGGTGGAGATCAAACGCAACTTGTCGGGAAGGGCATTCCAAACTTTAATCACACGATTTACGAAAAAAGCTCTAGAGGATTTAGAGAAAGCAGATTCGGGATGCAAGAGAAGAATTATGGGAATAAAATAAGAATAGAATGTAGTTGATGAGAAGATTGTGTGAAGAATGATTCATAGATAATAGAAATGATAAGAATAGACAAAAGTCTGTGTTGGACTTCGTGATTGTTATTGCTTTGTTTTATGTTGTGAGAAAGGGCTTTGTGTTCAACTCACTCATTGAAAAACACAGTCAGAATTCCAAAGAAGAACTAGTCATTGACTATTTTGGTCGATTCTTTTGTTGAAAAATCCATTTTTCCTTGAACTCTCCTCGAGAAAAGAGTGATGCGTTGTAGAAAAAGAATGTAGTTGAAGAAAAGATTGTGTAAAGGAAATGATTGATGAAATAAAAAAAGAATGATAAGAATAGACAAAAGTCTGTGTTGGACTTCGTGTTGGACTTTGTTGTTGCTTTGTTCACAACATTAGAATTTTGATGTGTGAATTGCATAACAACATTGGCTCAAAATCGAATTTCGTCTTTCACCGGCTAAAGTACACTTGCAAATGAATGAAAATTGAGAAAAATTATGTGAATAAAATAAGAATTGAATGTAGTTGATGGGAAGATTGTGCGAAGAATGATTCATAGATAATAGAAATGATAAGAATAGAATAAAGTTTGTGTTGACCTCATTGTTGGCTTTGTTATTACTGTTGGCTTTAGGTGGCTTTGTGTTCAACTCACATTTGGAAAACACAGTCAGAATTCTCATTCAAAATTCTAAAGAAGAACTCATCATAGAAATTTTTTGGTTAATTTTTGTTGAAAAATCTGTTACCCTTACACTCTCTCCTCTCTTGAAAAAAGTGATGCGTTTTTTAACTTGCTAATTTTTTAAAGCTATTGTAGCCTTTAGATTTTGCTAATTCTATACTTTATATATTTATTTAAGAAGTCTCAAAAGATAATGAAAGATACAAAAAAAAATGATAGACTGAATAAAATTAGAGACAAGATTACAGTAGTCTTCA